AAACCTTAAGAGCAATCAGAAGAAAAAAGACATATAACCTAAAGAGCAACAAAGAATAATCATGGACTTCTTATCAGAAACTATGCAAACCAGAGCAATGGAATGGCATCTTTAAATTGCAGAAAGAAAGTAACTTTCAACTTAGAATTCTGTGATCACCAACAGTAATTTTCAAAATTAAAAAGAATTGAAGATTTTTTTTCCAGAATAAAATATCTAGGACAGAAGAGCACAAGGGTGGGGTGGAGAATAGAAGTATGTTGTAAGTTTCTTGAGTTATTATTGAGATTACATAATAATCTGCTATAGGTTAACATAACAACCAGTGTGAACATTTTGAAATGTAAATCAAATCATGTCATCCCTCTGCTCAAAACCCTCTAATAGCATCCCACTTCACTCAAAATGAAAACTAAGGTCTACAACATCCTGTGTAGTTGGGTAGAAATTACTCCTAATGCCCACTACTACTGTGACCACAATTAATAATATATTGACAGAAATTCATGTTTGTGAGTCTTCTTTCTTTAATAAAGTTTCATCATAATTCATGATTATCTTTTCTCTGGAAATTATGAAATACACTTTTTAAGATTTAGGGCACATGCCAAGTAATGCCAGCCTCTTATTCCTCACCTATAATGCACTCTAACATAGCAAACAATTTCTTTCAAGTTCACATCACTCCCCTTTTGCCAAATAGTCCCTCCTAGAACTGAGGTCGGAGCAGAGGTTCCTGCTTATCGCCTTAATTTTCTAAATGATTTTAGAATAGAAACAAATAGAAACAAAATACCTTAAAATCACATTCTACTTGAGCAGACTTGAGCAGCTGCCAAGACACTGCACTTCTGTAATAATTTTGAGTTGTCTGAATTTTATAACCTGTGTCAGGCAGCTATAATCTGAGCATCTTTTCATGTATCTATTTGCTATCAATATATCTTCTGTAGCTGACTGTTCAAATCTTTGGTCTACTTTTTAAGTCAGTTATATGTTTTCCTATTATTGAGTTTCCTGTGTTCTTTGTATATACTTGATTAAAGTCCTTGATCAGACACATGATTTAAAATTTTTCTTCAAGTCTGGGGCATATTTTTTTTTAATTCAAGTTAGTTAACATATAGTATAGTATTGATTTCAGGAAGTGTGGGGGCATACCTTAACAGTCTCTTTCAAAGAATAGAAGATCTCAATTTTCATACATCCAATTTATCAATTCATCAATGCCCCAAACCACTAGGCACACTGTGTCTTATATTTTTATAATTTATATTTTGGTTTATTATTCATCGCAGTGAGGGAGAACACTTACTGTGGGGAATCATAGGTAGTCTTGGTGAAAGAATGTTAGAAAGAATCTGTTATGGGACTTGGGGTTTGGTTGGGTAATATTAGCTTTGGCAGGTGAAATTCTGTAATTTGTGTTTTACTAAATCTTATTTAAAAGGAGAGCACACCAGAATGAGGATGAAGCTGCACTTGCTAAAGAAGTAGTTGTCATTCATTTTAGCTGGGAGAGGGGAATGGTCAATATTTTGTGAGTTACATAGTAACCTTGTTATTGTGGTTTTTTTTTTTTAAAGATTTATTTACTTATTTTAGAGCAAGTGACCAGGGTGGGGAAGGGGCAAAGGAAGAAGGATAGACAATCCTCAAGCACTCCCCACTGAGCACAGAGCTTGACGCAGGGGTTGATCCTAGGACCCTGAGATAATGACCTGAGCTGAAATCAAGAGCTGGCTGCCTAACTGAGCCACCCTATGATTCAATAGTGACCCAATAGTGACTTTGTTTTTGTTTCACTTTATCATGGTCTCAGGATGACTTTGTCTGATGTTGGTGTTTTATGAGATTGTTCATGTCCATTAGGAGAGCAACATTAACTAGTTGTGTGCACCAGGCTAGCTTTGTAATAATACTGAGGCCTCACTGTCAGACCAGATATAAGAAACTCCTTTCTTTTATGGATCATGATTTTGCTGTTAAATATAATGCCCAGAGTCACAAAGGTTCTCTTCTATGCATTTTTCCCCCTATAAGTTCTGTAGTTTTACTTTCAGGTCAATAATCTTTTTTTAAAAAAAAAAAGATTTATTTATTTATGAGAGAGAGAGAGAGAGAGAGAGAGAGAGAGAGGCAGAGACACAGGAGGAGGGAGAAGCAGGCTCCATGCCAGGAGCCCAACGCGAAACTTGATCCCGGGACTCCAGGATCACGCCCTGGGCCAAAGGCAGGCGCCAAATCGCTGAGCCACCCAGGGATCCCCTCAGGTCAATAATCTTTGAGTTGATTTTCATATATGATGCTTGGTATAGATCAAAGTTTTTTCTTCTTCTATTTCTCCCTCTCCTCCTCCTTTTCTTCCTCTTTTTTTGCCTATAAATAACCAATTAGTCCAGCAGTATTTGTTGAAAAGACTATCCCTTCTCCACTGTATAGGCTTTGCCAAGAATCAATTACCAATATATATATATGGAGGTCTGTTTTTGGAATCTCTAACTTATTCCATGGATCTACTTGTTTATTTTGAAACCAAAACCATACTCTGTTGGTTATTGTTGCTTTTTATTGTAGAGTCTTGAAGACTCTGCTTTGTTCATTTTTTTAAAAGTAATTTTGGATATTTTAGGTATTGTGCATTTTCATGTGAGTTTCAGATGTAGCTTGCTAATTTCTACAAAAAGCCATGCTGGGATTTTGATTTAGATAGTTTTGGGTTTATAGATCAATTTGGGGGAGATCCTTCAAAATATTTGAAGCAAAAATTGACAAAATCATAAGGTGAAATAAACTCATAATTATAGCTGGAGATTTCAATATCCTTCTCCCAAAAATCAAAAGAATATGTATGCTGAAAAGAGAATATTACCAATCAAGCTGATTGGTAATACTGGTCAGGTCTTCTATATCCTTATTGTAGAACATTTCACCTGTCAACAGAATACGTATTCTTCTCAAGTGCACATGGACATTTACTAATATACTACATATTTGAACCATCAAACAAGTCTCAATAAATTTTAAGAGATTCAAGAAGTCATACGAAGTATGTTCTTTGACTACAATGGATTGAGAATAGGAATCAGTAATAGAAAAGTATCTAGAAAATCCTCAAATATTTGGAAACTGAAGAACATACCTCTAAGTAACCCACAGAATGAATAATTGGAATGAATAATTAGATTTCTATATACTAGCAACAAGTGAAAATTGAAATCTAAAGACAATACTATTTATACTATGTCAAAAATTATGAAAAACTTAGGGATAAGTGTGAAAAAAAGCACAGCGTTGAGAGAAATCAGAGAAGACCTAAACAAATGGAGGGACACGTGTTAATCTTTAGTGTATCGTCTTTGTAGCTCTAATTTACTCAGCTTTTTTCTCCTAGCTTTCTGGTTGTGAATTTGTTGAATAAGCAATCTTTGGGTAAGTGAATTATTACTGTATAGAGAAAGTAGATAAAAATTCAAAAGGAGGGGCACCTAGGTGGCTCAGTCAGTTAAGCGTCTGCGTCTGCTTGTCTGCTCGGCTGGGGTCATAATCCCAGGGATCTAGAATGGAGCCATGGGACAGGCTCCCTGCTCAGAGGGGAGTTTGCTTCTCCCTCTTTCTCTGTTCCTTCCCTTGGCTTGTGCTCTCTCTCTCTCTCTCTCTCTCTCTCTCACACACACACACACACACACACACACAAATAAGTAAAATATTTTTAAAAAAAACCCTCAAAAGTGATTAAAGAGAGAGTTTGGAATAATTCAGTAATGAGAAACAGATCAAAACCTACTTCGACTACAAATGTTATCAGTCAAAATAGAGAGCTGGGGTGGAAATCATTCATGGAAAGGGCTGGTGGTGGGATGGGAGGTGGTGGGATTGCCCTACATTGATCACAGGACTAGAAGGTTCGCCAAAGTTGTCTCTTTTTTTCTATTGCTAATTAGTCTAATTTTTCTCTCCTTACCTAATGAGGAGGTATTTCCTCTTCCCCAAAGCCAGATATGATTCTTTTATATTTTCTTTAGTCATCGGTCTTAACGTTAAACCTCACCAATTTAGAATAGAGACATTCGGACTTGACACAATGAACATGCAGATTCTGGAATATTGCATTTCATTGCATTCACAGAATAAAATAAACGGGGAGACAATGGGCCTTATGTAGTGAAGAATCCTAAAAGCTGGTTAATGAGCACAGAAGGGAACATTTAGTCCTTGCTTATACACCAATGTAGCTTTTAACTCCCTCCTTCCAGCAACTTCTGTCTGCAGAACCCCACGTTAGGAGACATTTTAAAAAACTTCGATTTCTGCTCTCTAAATCGAGAGCACAGCACAACTGCCCATTTCTCAGATCCGTCCTCCTCCCGGCACCCAGCGTGGTCTCTCGTTACGTTCTCTATTAAAACTCCTGCTCTAAATTAGAGTTCTAAGATGTTTGGCTCTAAAATTTAAGAGGCCCATTAGGAGGCTGGCGGGAGATGGCTCAGTGCCTACTTCGGGCTCCCCCGTCACTTGAGACAATTTCCTAAGTCAGATTCGCGGCGAGCTGGGCTACCGCCCCGGTTCCCTTTGTAACCGCGGCCGCGGGCTGTGGGGGCGGCCAGGTCTGGGCTGCGGCGGCGGCGGCGGCGGCGGCGGGAAGGGAGCGCGCGGCGAGGGGCGCGTGGAGGCGGAGGCGGAGGCGGACGCGGAGGCGGACGCGCACGCACGCAGGCGCCGGGCCGCGGAGGGTCGCGGGGCTCTCGCGGGCCGCCTGGCCTACGGGAGCGAGCCGGCGACGGGGGCGCCTCGCGCGCGGGGCTCGGGGCTCGGGGCTCGGGCCGCGGCCTGCGGCGTGCGCCCGCCCGGCCCGGGGTGTGGGCCCGCGGCACCTGCCGCCCGCGCCGCGGGGGGCCCCGCCCCGTCCCGCCCCGCCCCCAGGCGCGGGGCTCTCGGGGAAGGCGGCCGGCGGCGGAGCCTCCTCCCGCGTCCGGCCTGCGGCGCCACAGCCCGCGGCGATGAGTCCCGAGCGGGTCCCGCCGCCGCCGCCGCCGCCGCCCCCGCGCCCCGGCTGCGCCTGCGGGGAGCCGCTCGCCCAGCGCTTGGAGAGGGCCGACGAGGCCTTCCGCGCCGGCGAGTACGGGGCGGCGGCGGAGCTCCTCCGCTCCGCGCTGGCGGGGCCGGCGGGGCCGGCGGGGCCGGCGCAGCCCGAGCGCGGCCTGTGCCTGCGGCTGGGGGACGCGCTGGCCCGCGCGGGCCGTCTCCCCGAGGCCCTGGGCGCCTTCCGCGGCGCCGCGCGGCTGGGCGCGCTGCGGCCCGAGGAGCTGGGGGAGCTGGCGGGCGGCCTCGCGCGCGCCCTGGGCCGGGGCGAGGGGCGGCTGCCGGCGCGGAGGCCGGGCGGCGCCCCCGGGGAGGCGCGTGGGGAGGCGCGTGGGGAGGCGCGTGGGGAGGCGCGGGAGCTGCTGGGCTGCCCGCGCTGCCGGCGGCTGCTGCACAAGCCGGTGACCCTGCCGTGCGGGCTGACGGTGTGCAAGCGCTGCGTGGAGCCGGGGCCGGCGCGGCCGCAGGCGCGGCGAGTCAACGTGGTGCTGAGCGGCCTGCTGGAGAAGTGCTTCCCGGCCGAGGTCCGCGCGCGCAGGCTGGCCGGCCAGGCGCGGAGCCTGCAGCGCCAGCAGCAGCCCGACGCCGCGCTGCTCAGGTGCGAGCAGGCGCTGGAGCTCGGTAAGTCGCGGCCTGCGGAGCTGCCCGCCGGCCCGCGCGGTGACCGACCCCCTTCCGAACCGGGTAAGGCGGGCCGGCGCCCGAGGGGGCTAGTGGCAGAGGCAGGTGCGCCCACCGGGCCGCCCTTTGCCGGACCTCCGCCCCCTTCCTCAGGGGCCGTGAGGCCAGCACCGCCTTCCACCCGGTCTCAGCCGTCCAGGAGTGGCGGGATGACCGGGTGTTTTTACTTGACCTGCAGGAAGATGCAACACCCCAGAGGCACACGAACGGGGGAGTGCCTTGTGCTGCGGCAGGACTTGCTCCGGGGGTTTCAAGTAAAGAATCCAGGAAGGATCCTTTTCCGTTGTGCTTTTAATTATTTGCACATTCTCTCTCAAAGGGCATTAGATGTTGTTAGGGTTTATTAGATGGTTATATTAACTAGTGTTGTGTCTTTAATTTTTAAGAGGTTACTGAAATTCGTGGCCAGCACCAGGCTCTCTGATTTTCTTCCCACCTGTTAAGAATATGTCATTTAAAAAGACCAAACTTGGGGAACCCCCTGGTGGCTCAGCGGTTTAGCGCTGGCGTCAGCCCAGGGCGTGATCCTGGGGACCTGAGATCGAGGCCCACATCAGGCTCCCTGCATGGAGCCTGCTTCTGCCTCTGCCTCTCTCTGTCTCTCATAAATGAATAAATAAAATCTAAAAAAAAAAAAAAAAGACCAAACTTCCTGTCATTGTACTTGATTCCCACTGCATATACTCCATTGACAATTTTTGGGGGGTGGTGAAGTCTATGTGGAGGGTGATTCGGATTCCCTGGTTTTGCTACAGGTTATGTGTGAGTTAAGTCACTAGCCAAGAAGATTTCGCTTATTTTTTTTTTTTTGTTACTAAAAGAATCTTGTGTGCTGTATTCATTATGCATTTTATTTTAAATTTAGAGTTAAGGTTTTCCCTTTTAGAAGATACACTTGTATTTAATTTGGGGGATTCTTTGTTGGATAGAGCAGTTAAACTGTATTACATAACAAATATCCTGTACCATTTTTGCAGCTTGTATCCATATTTTAACAGGCTGTATATTTTCGTATTTTCATCTGTCATGTTTTATATATGTAGTGTTGAGCAACACTATCCAGAGGAAAAATTGTGTAAGCCACATGTGTAATTTTTAAATTTCTGGTAGCCACGTGTAAAAGATGAACAGAAGCAGGTAACATTTATCTTAATATTTTTAAACCTATATATCGAAAATACTATTCAACATATCTTCAATGTAAAATATGGAGATTTTACTTTTTTTCAAACAGATCTTCCAAATGCATTGTGATTTTTACATGTACTGCCAACTTCAATTTGGATACAAAATTTTCATCAGAAATCCCTCCTTTATATTTCAGTTTCATAAAACTTAGTGTTGAAAAAGTAGATTGGCATGTTGAAATTGTTCCAAATTAACTTAAAAGCTTTCCACTAGTCAATAGAATATCAGCTTTTAAAATTAACTTTCAGTTAGTTAAATTTAAAAAGTCCGTAATCTCAGTTCCTTTGTCGTTCCAACCCCATTTCATTTGCCCTAGTCGCTATTGTCTCAGTAAGTATAGAACATATAGAAACAGTTGCTGGGGTGCCTGGGTGGCCCAGTCCATTAAGCATCTAACTCTTGATTTTGACTCAAGTCATGAGCTCTGGGGTTGTGAGATCAAGCCCAGCTTCAGGCTCCCTGCTCAGCAGGAGTCTCCCCCTCCCTTTCCCCCTCCCTCTGTCACACCCTCCCTCTCCCTGCTTATGCTTTCTTTCAAATAAATAAATCAGAAATAAAAACAGCTGCTGGAAGTGTAGAAGATCACAATACCAGCTGTTGGAGAAGATGGAGGAAATGAGAACCATCATATGTTGCAGATGGGTCTGCAGATCATACACCGGGAAAATTGGTAGTATCTGAAGTGTTAAATATAATATTGGCCAAGCAGTTTCAATAAGGTACATATATATGTGCACTGAAAGAATGTACAAGAATGTGCAAGAGCTTATATCCTTATGCAGAGATACCCCTGAAGTGGAGACAACACACATGTCCAATAAATGGAATGAATGACTAAATATATTATGCCTTTTGGAATACTGTACAAAAAGAAAGTAAACCAGCTACAACTACACACTACAACATGGACAAATCACAAACATAATGTTGGGTGAAAGAAGTCAGACTCAAAAGCATTTTTACCATATGATTCTATTTATCTATAAATCCAAACAGACAAAATCACTATAGCATGTTGTAGGTAAGGGCAGTGGTTACCTTTGGGAAACAAAATATTAGCAGATTGAATCCAGTGATACACTTAAAACGGGTCACAATCAAGTAAAATGTTATTTCATTTAATCATTGTGTATCAACTAATGTAATTCACTACATCTGTAGAATAGAGAAAAATCATATAAGCTGTGTTAAAATCTTTCAGGGAAGTAGGAGTACAAGAGAACTTTCTTAATATGTTAAAGAGTACCTACAAAAATCTGTAGCAGGGAAATACAAATTAAAACCACAATAAGATAACCATCTCTCACCTGTGAGAATGGCTAAAATTAACACAGGAAACAATAGATATTGGCGAGGAAGCACTGTTGCACTGTGGGTGGGAATGCAAATTGATGCAGCCACTTTGGAAGACAGCATGGAAAACTTCCTCAAAAAGTTAAAAATAGGACCACCTTATGACCCAGCAACTGCACTACTATGTATGTATCCAGAGGATACAAAAATAGTGATCCGAAAGGGCACATGCACCCCAATGTTTATAGCAGCAATATCCACAATAGCAAAACTCTGGAAAGAGCCCAGACATCCATCGTCCATCGACAGATGAATGGATAAAAATGTGGTCATGTATACACACACACACACACACACACACACACACACACACACACACACACAATGCAGTACTAAGGCATCAGAAAGAATGAAATCTCCCTATTTATAATGACCTGGATGGCAATAGAGGGTATTATGCTAAGCAAAATAAGTCTGAGAAATACAAGTACCATAGGATTTCACTCATGTGGAATTCAAGAAATTATGTTCTGTTTATCTGTTAAAGGTAGGGAAGAGAAGGAAAAGTAAGATAAAAACAGTAAAGCAAACCATAAGAGATTCATTTAACTCTAGGAAACAGTTGCTGGAGGGGATGTGAGTGGGGGATGGGGTAACTGGGTGATGGGCATTAAGGAGGACACTTGATGGAATGAGCACTGGGTGTTATATTGCAACTGATGAATCACTACATTCTACCCCTGAAACTAATAATACACTATATGTTAACTACATTGAATTTAAATTTTAAAAAAATCTGTAGCAATCATCATAATGAAATATTGAATGTATTACCATTGAGGGAAAAAGTGACAAGGCTGTTCACTGCCGTTACTGCCATTTTGTATCATATTAAGATTCTAGGTGCTGCAATGAGGAGAGAATAAAAAGTACTAAGATTGGAAAAATAAAACATTTGTAGATGGCATGGTGGAGTACATAGGAAGTCCAGAGGAATATTTGAACTATTGGAAATTATAAGTGAATTATCAAGATTGTTGACTATAAGATTAATACAGCAAGATCAGTGATGATTATATATACTTAGTAAAAACAAAAAAAAAATAGAAAACCCATTTAAGTAACAAAAAACTTCTTTGGAGTAAATCTTGACATACCTGAAAGTTCAAGACCTCTTCACTGAAATACGAAACATTTCTGGGAGAAATTGAGTAAGTGGAAAGGTACGTGATTTTCACAGATTGTAAAACTCAGTATTGATGTCAGTTCTGTGCATATTGAACTATAGATTCAGTGCATTCTCAGTCAAAATCTCAGCTAATGATTTTGGTGGAAGTTGATGAATGGCCAAAGCAATACTGGAGAAAAATAATGAAAGTGGAGAACTGATACTTGCAAGATACCAAGACCCAAGACTTATTATAATACAGCTGCAGTAATTAGCACAGAGTTGTACTGGCCCAAATATAGACACATAGAAACAGACTCTCACGTATAGTCACTTGATTTGCTACAAAGATGCCAATAGAGTTAAATGGTTGGGGAGGGGGGATTGTTTTAAATAGTCAAAGTCTGTTGCTTATCCATTTGGAAAAAAAAAATGAACCTAGATGCCCATCATACATCATACATGGAAATTATAATCAGATATCTAAAAGAAATCATAGAATATTTTCATGAATTTAGGGGAGGTGATCCTTTTTAAGGCACAAAAAGCATAACCATGCAGGAAAAGATAGATAAATTCAATTAAAATTAATAACTTTTGTTCCTCAGAGACCTCCACAAAAGACTGAAAAGATGATGTGTATTGGTAATATGTATCTAAATGAGAATGCTAATTCAGACTATTGAAAATAATGCTTATAGCTCAAGAACCAAAAAGGAAGTCTGTCTAAATAATAGGCAGAGTTGAACAGATGCTTTGTAAAACTAGATCTCAGAATGGAAAATAAATATATGAAGGGGTGCCCGATGTAATTACTGATCAAATGCAAATTTAAAATCAAAGTAAGATATTAGAACATACCTGAAAATGAAAACAAGTAACAGTACCTGGTTTTGGCAAGTACTGGAAGCAATCGGAACTCTTACATTGCTAGTTGAAGTGGAAATTGGTATAAGTTAAATATACTTAGGAGTACTTACTAAAGCCAAACGTAACATAACTTCTGGCACAGTATTCACACTTTTGACTATGCCAAATAGAAATTAATGCTTTTACTTGACGGGATGAGCACTGGGTGCTATGCTATATGTTGGCAAATCAAACTCCAATAAAAATAATATATACAAAAAAAATAATGCTTTTGCCCAACAAAAGACCTATACAAGAATGTTCATAGCAGCTCTATTTATTTATATAAATAAGTGCCAAGAACATTTGGATAACAACCCACCAGTAGGATGAGTATATAAATCAAATCATACAGTGTAGTATGCAGCAGGTCTTTTATTCTCTTAAGGAAACAGACATACAGCAGTATGAAGGAATTTCACAGAATGATTGTGACAGATACAAGAGTACATTCTATTCATATAGCCCCATGTATAAGTTCAGAAACAGGTGAAAGTAATCCATGGTGATAGAAGTCAGAATGCTGGTTACCTTTAGAAAAGGTGTACTACCTGAGAAAGTGCACAAAGGAGCCTTCTTAGGTCCTGATCTGGGTCACGATGACTTAGGTGTATAGTATATAAAAGTTCAAGATACACACTTAAAATTTGTAGACTTCACTTTATAAGTCCTTACATCACTTCAAACAAATAACCCATGAGGAGTATTGCTGTTGATTCTTTATATTCACCAGGACCACTACTTGGCTGTCATTGCTTTATGTATCAATTCATTCAGCTCTTCCTAAATAACACTTGTACAGTTCTCTACTTCTCCCCACTGCCCACTCATTTGACAGATCTTATGGTGGTAACACTAGCTCCCAGCACAATGACAACTCTGGGTTCCAGGGGAAAAGAACAGTCTTTGATTAACCCTAAATGCAAATGTAGAGAGTAGACTGTCTCTTCCTCACAAAGCCTGATTCTCAGACTATACTCTTTTTGGCTCATTTCCCCGTACAAGGGTTAATTTATAAACTGTTTGCATATTTGTGTCAATTTCTTGGAAGGTGCACACATGTCTTTTTCTTCCATAAGCTGTCTTCACACAAAGAATTTTTAAGTTGCTTTTCCTCTTTGATTTTTTTAGTGATTCCTCCATAAATTCTCTCAGTTTTATTAAGCTTAAGGCTTAATACTTAGGAAATGTGTAGAGATTTATTTGAAATGTTTTAAAAGATTAAATTTTGAAGTTCTGGCTTCATAAGTGGATTACAAATGGTGGAAGTCAACAAAGAAAACCGTTTGATTCACTCAGTGTCTTGGATAAGAAATGACTTTTTTGGACTGCAGTAAAAGCTCTTAGACTGTGAGGAGTAGAAGCTTAAATGCATTCATTAGAAAAGAATGATTAAAAATAAATGTAAATGAGAGTATTTTTAACTCCAAAAACTTTGTCAAGATAATGAAACTAACACAAGTGTAAGCAAAGAGATAATGAAGAAAACATTAATGAAACAGAAAAAAAAATTGATTTCGTTAAGTCAGAAGCAGGTTCATTACAGAGACTAATAAAAGAAACAAATGTTCGGCAAATGTGATGAAGAAAAAGCAAAACACAGGATCAGGAATGAAAAAGGCAGCATAATTGCAGATATAAAGGAACATAACAGATTTTAAAGCCTATATAAAAAGGACAATTTTAAGGAAATTATAAATCATCAAAATTAACCCAAGAAGAGGTAAAAACTTGACACTGACCAATAATCATAAAACAGAAGTGCTACTCAGGGCTTTTCTTTTGAAAAAGACACAAAGGTCAAGCAAGTTTTAACAAACTTTGAAGGAATATTAACTTTCATCTTATTTCAGATCATGCAGCGATATGAGAAATTTTTCATTTAATTTTAGGAGATTAGTGTTGATACTACAATCAAGTAAAGCTTAGGAAAAAGTTTATAGGCTTATATATGTACATAGCTGCCAAAATCTTAGTTAAATCTCTTAGTATTTGAATCTAGCAATATAGTAAGACTCAAGGCCAAGATGAGATTATCCCAAGAAAATAAGGATAATTAAGTATTAGACAAATTGTTCAAAGTAGTTACTATAAGGACAGATTTAAGGAGATATACTCCATGTAATCTTTCACATGCTGAAAGAGCATATTATAAAATTCACCCACTTCTTATAATGTCTTCATAGAAAACGAGGAATAGAAAGAAGCTTGACTAATTTGATAAATATTCTCTGTCAGGAGCTTATAGTAATAGTTCATGTTAAAGCATTCCATATATCCCTCTTTAAGTTCAAAAATAAGAGGAAAATGTCTGCTATCACCACTGTTACGGCAATGTGGAGTAAAAAGAAACACAAGGAATAAAAACTAGCTTTCCAGAATCAAAGCTGATTGCACATGATATGGCTGCTTAGAAGATTCAAGAGAATCAACTCTGGCAAAGTGGGAACAAAGTGGGAGATCTTCATTCTCACCCACATTTGCAAAAGGTGTATTTCTCAAGCTCCAGCTATAGTTTCAGTGGCATTTTCTTTTTGAGATTTCCAAAATCTCCAAAGGTTATTTCTGTATTTGAAAATGTATTTAATTGTGCAGTTGAGGAATTTTCACTTAATCTTCAGTTGGAAATGATTAATCTGTAATTATATTTCCTGTATGACACACTATGGAGACAGGAGGATCTGATAGGATTCAATAAAGAACTTCTAAGCAATAAAATGCTCAATTTAAAATCCTACCCTAGTGGATTGACAACTGTATTTCATATTCCAAGATGAAAAACAAAGTTTCATTACAGATCATAACCAACACGAACATTTTCAGTTTATTTTGATGATAGGGAACATTAACTTTGAACTTTAAGGAAAATGTTATCCCTTCCCCCAAAGAATTCCATTCTTCGAATTAGTAGACCTTTGTCACAAAAAAGTACTAAATTATTAGTTTTTTAAAATTTTATCAAAAAAAATCTGAAAGTTTGTTTTCTCTCTTGTTATTTAAGTACCTGTACAATATTCTCAAATTTCTTCCTGGCCCGCAAAACCTAAAATATTTACTCTTCAGCTTTTTACAGAAAAAAGTTGTTGATTCCTAATCTAACCAGTCAATGTCATTTTAAAAGACATTGTTTTGTTACTGCTTTTATTGTTAGATTTCTCCATTCCTGCCATTTCTTTCCTCTTTTCCACACTTTTTTTCCTTGTCATACCTTCTCTACATTAAACATATGTAGCAGTAACACAGTTATAAGTAGCCTCATCATCTTGATATGATGTCTTTCTGCATGAGTTCTATTATGCACTCTTGCTCAGTTACCTACATTAGCTAAGAGGAGATGTAGAAAAGGTGGAAAGGTGGCTAGCTTGAGAGTCAAAGTCTAGGATTTGGAGCAAACTTAAATGGGTATTGGGTAGAGAAATGAGACCACATTTTAGGTACTTACAATATTTATTATCAATTAAAATGCATACTGTAGCTCTCTTTCAAAGATCCTGCAATGAGTATAGGTAGAGTGAACCAGGTCCAGAAGTATGAAAATGGCTGTGATGGTTCTGTCACTTTTCCATGGTACCTTGCCAGGTCAAGGACTAAACATACTACACATTAGAGAGTCTATCTTGGCTTCTGCGTAGCTAGGCTTATGTCCATAGTCTAATATGAGCAGTTCTCAACCTTTCTTCTGTTTGAGAAAGATTTTTTCCCCCTTCTTTTCTCACTTAAGAGAATATACTATTGTAGGTACAATTATGATGATAAGTTCACATCCATGCAGTTGTATTAGAGGACAAGTTATGCATTCTTTTGTTCCTTGAGGATGAATCTCCTTGTGTACTTCAAGAAAGTTATTTTAAATCTTTTCATTTTTAATACCTAGTTACAGCATTAAGATGATTCAGCATTTACTCATTATTATTGCAGATTATGTTAAACCTAGTGTGTATTCAGCAGTCTGTTTTTCTTGATTTTGAAGTCTTGTTAATTTTCTTTCTGTTTTCCTGAGAGAGGTCTTTTAAAATATACTTACCAAGCTACCAAACCACATGTGATTTGAGGGAGGAAGTGTTTATTTTGCCTTTATGTTTATTTTCCAATTTAATGTTTTTAGTGACTTGAAGATTGATTTTTAAATGTAGTCATTTAATTTTTTTTTCTATTCTCCATGTCTTTCAGCTCCTAGAGATAACTCGTTATTGCTGCTGCGAGCAGAGTTATATTTAACTCTGAAGAACTATGAGCAGGCTCTACAGGATGCCAATGCAGTTTGTCAGAATGAACCTCTCTTGACTAAGGTATTTGACTAATGTATTGGTTGTCTTTGGAGATAATAAATGTTAAGTTCACTTCCTTAAGAATAAACTAAGATGATTGTGATTAGGTGCCTAACACAGCATACATTTTCCTCATGATAGTAGTCTAAATGTAGCAATCCACTTCATAATAAACCAACTCAGTTTAAAAGACCAAAAAGTCTCCCAACTGGATTTAGTTAAGAAACACTAATTCAGATTACTTTTAGGAGATATTCAGCTGCCTTATATAATATGCCTTATATACTAAATAAATATATAAACATAATGATAAAGTTATATAAATTTGTGAGTAAAGGGAAAATGTTTAAAACCACACTTTAAATAGGAAGATTATAAAATATTCATGATTAACAGTTGTACCCTAATATGCGTGTAGCATATAAATGTTATATGCCTTTGTTAGTGAAAGGACGAATGTTTTCTATTTATTTTGGAATAATTTTAGTCTGTGTTGTAAAGGTCTAATATTTCTTCCTGTGATGATACAAAATAAGCTTTGTTAATTAAAAATAATAGCTTAAGTTATCCTTGAAGATTAAGAAGCCAGACAACAAAAGTTGTAGCTTTTTCATGAATCTCTGGATTTTAAAACCCAAAAGAGATTTTAAAGTTTTAAAGAACTTGTAATGAAATTAACATGGATCACATGCTCTATAGCTAGTAAATGCAAATATTTTTGTCCTTCTATATGACTTTTTATCATTTTTGTTTTAGAAGCATTGAAGAGGCATTAACCCATGTTAATAGAAAAGATGCCCTTCTTTCCTTTCTTCCATTCAACCTTCCATTCTTTAAAACAAAATGTTAAGGGTGGGAAACAAATGTTTGTTGGACTAAGCCCAGAAATCTATTTTTTTGCTTGCTTGCTTCACTAAAAACATTTTCTCCTCCTTTTTCTGATGACTTTTCTCCTATCCCTAGATCTCTTAATCTTCTGAGGGAATTTCTGTCAGTAATGATTGAGCCTTGATTGTTATGAATTATAAGTTTAGGATTTCTTTTTTTTTTTTAAAGATTTTATTTATTTTTATTTATTCATGAGAGACAGAGGCAGAGCCACAGGCAGAGGGAGAAGCAGGCTCCACTCAGGGAGCCCGATGTGGGACTCGATCCCAGGACTCCAAGATCATGCCCTGGGCTGAAGGCAGGCGCCAAATCACTGAGCCATCCAGGGATCCCAAGTTTAGGATTTCTGAATGACAGTAGACCTGTGTTGTCCTGTGAAGCTAGTTTCTTCTCTACAGTATTGATTTTTGAGCTAAAAACTTGGTAAGTTGGCAGTGTGTCTTTGAAGAAGGACAGACTTAGTTACTACAAAGTTATGGAGATAATTTTAACTGTAAGAGAGCCAGCAAATGAATCATTAGCTTTTGGGATTTGGGTTATATCTTTAGGGTTTATTGCAAATCTGTGGACCTCAATTTTCGATAAATGACTAGAGAAGAACAGCTTTAGTGGAAGTATACCCTGATAAATCAGTTTAAGATAATGAAGGATAGAAATGTATTTCCAGGTTAATATTATAACTAAAGGATTAGGGCAGAAGCAATATTGGAAAGTTGAAAGGACTGAGGGAAGGATGATGTTGTCCAACTGTGGCTGAGATGAGATGGAAGCACTTTAGAACCAACTTCGAGTTTTCAGTTGGGGACTACTATACCAGTGTGTTTTTTCCAGGCAAAACTATCCTTTCAAGCCATCTGTCATGGCTGATGCTGATTCACAATTTTTGGTGCAAATGGAGATAAGCCAATGCAAACAAAATATTTGTCCATATACAGAACTATAAATAGGCATGTGAAAGTTTGACCTTATGAAATGGGTAAGCATACTTGTGCTTTTTAATGCTCATAGATTCCTATGCTGGTAAATTAAATCTCAATAAATTTCAAATTGCTGAAATCTTGAAGAGTCTGCTCTCTGACAATAGAATGAAAAGAGTAATCGACGATAATAAAATATCCAGGAAATCCTTAAATATCTCTTATTTAATTATATTACTTCTGAACAGTCCGTGGAACAAAGATGATATCACAAAGGAAATTAGGAACTATTTTTAAATCGTTGATAATAAAAGCATATTACATCTAATTCATCATATGCAACTAAAGCTATTCTTTGAGGGAAATTTATAATATTAGTAAATTATTAAAGAAATAAGGTCTCAGAAGAGTGATGTTTCCTCCTTAAAATACTAAGACAAGAAGAGCAAATTAAAACAAAGATAAGCAGAAAGAAAGAAGAACTATAAGAAACAGGGAGTCAATAAAATAGAAAAAAACAATAGAGAAAAGTTGATGAAACAAAACTTGTTGTATTGCAAGGATGAATGAAATTGATATACCTCAGCAGACTAATCAGGAAAAAAGAGAAAAGGTACAGATTATTGATAGCAGGAATGAAAGAGTTGATACCACTATAGATCCCACAGACATTGAAAGGATAAAAAAGGGGCAGCCCAGGTGGCTCAGCGGTTTGGCGCCTGCCTTCGGCCCAGGGTGTGATCCTGGGGACCTAGGATTGAGTCCCACATTGGGCTCCCTGCGTGGAGCCTGCTTCTCCCTCTGCCTGTGTCTGTGCCTCTGTGTGTGTGTGTGTGTGTGTGTGTGTGTGTGTGTCTCTCATGAATAAAGAAAATCTTTTAAAAAAAAAAAGGATAAAAAAAGAGCAATTTTATGAACAAAGTTATACCAATATATTCAACAACCTAGAAGTTAACTCCTTAAAAAACACAAACTACCAATGTTCATTCAAGGAAAAATAGAGAGCCTCAATAGCCCTATCTCTATTTAGTGAAATTGGAATTATAGTTAACCCCTCCCCCCAATTTATCAGGACCTGATAGAATTACTGGTGAATTCTATCATAAATTTAAGGAAGAAATAATGCCAATCCTTCAAGATTCTTTTGGAAAACAGAAAAGGAGGGAATACTTATTTTATGAGAACAGTATTATTATTGATAACAAAACTAGGTAAAAACAGTAAAAAACAAACTTCAAACTAGTATCTCTATCTCATTTGAAAATTAATTTGTATTGACAGACTGAAAAAAAATGCAATAAATGGAGATAAAGCACTTGATAAAATTGAACACTCTTCGTGTTAAAAACTTTGAATGAACTAGGAATAGCAAGGTATTTCCTCAATCTGATAATGACTATCATACTTACTGGGGGGAAATGGAATGCCCTTCTGCTAAGACCAAGAAAAATAAAAGGTGTTTGCTTTTAGCACTTACCAGTATGGTATTGGAGGTCCTAGCCAGTCTGGTAAGGCAAAAAAAAAAAAAAAAAAAAAAAAAAAAAAAAAGAAAAGAAAGAAACAAATAAAAGGCATATATATATATATATATATATATATTTAAATATTTTATTTATTCATGAGAGACAGAGAGAAAGAGAGGGAGAGACACAGGCAGACACAGGGTCATTGTATGATTTACTTGCCTAAATGAAATACTGTGAAACTAATAACATTTCTTTTTAAAAGTTAAAAAATGTAAATAACTAAACACTCAGTGGAATGAACCCAACCTGGTGATAGGGAGTAATGGAGTGTCAATTGATCCATTCAGTAATGTGGATGAACCTCAGAAGCATCACATTAAAGTGAAGGAAGGCACACAAATAAATGTGTGATTTCATTTATATGAAATTCTCAAAGAGGCAAAACACTAGTGGCAGATCAGTGGTTCCTGGACTAGGAGAGAGGAGAGGATTGACTTTGAAGGGGCATGAGAGAACTCTCTGGGGTCATGGAAATGTGCTACATCACGATTGTGGTTGCAGTTACACACTGCATACATTTGTCAAAAGCCCTATATTATACATTTACAATTGATGAATTTTACTAGGTATAAGTTATACCTCCATAGAACTGTAGCAGCAAGAAAGCATAAACAAGTATAAGTCCATCACTGAAGGGAATCTCAGCAAATTTTTAAAATGCAGGTGAATGGATGAAAAAGCAGAGATCATGATAGTTCAAATGGGAGCTGAGCTCATGTCATAATACAAACTCCAGAGAAGATTCAATTTAAGCTCTTAGGAAAGGAGTAAGAAAGGTTTGTTTGATGGTACAGTTCACTCCACCATGCAGAGTAGTGGTAGGGGAAAAAATCCTAGCCCCCCACCCCCACCTCCTGCAAAGAATTTGGACAGACTGCTTGGGGAAAGTTGTGGCTGCCAACAGGGCCCCCCACCCCTGAGTAAACCCCTCTAAATCCTGGTACATGAGGTTCCTAGCCTAAGGCCTGGCTTCTCTACCACACACACCTGAAAATAAAACATCTCAAATAGATCTCCCACATGTAGATGAAGGACCCAAAGAGCCTTCCATTCAGCAGTGAAGTCTATGAAGTCAGGAGTCTGACTCAACATGGATGAAAATCAGTTGAAACAGTACATCTTTTTTATTTTTATTATTTTTTTTTAGATTTTTTATTTATGAGACAGAGAAAGAGCATGCAGGGGGAGGGGCAGAGGGAAAGGGAGAAGCAGACTCCCCGCTGAGCAGAGAGCCCAAGGCATGGCTGGATCCCAAGACCCTGAAATCATGACCTGAGGTGAAGACAAACACTTAACTGAGCCACCGAGACACCCCTAGTACATCGTTTTAAAATATGAATGAAGAAACAGGGATTAACAAGAAAAAATTCAATGAAATAAAGAAGAAAAAGACTAATATGAATGATCAGGACACCTGACCCCAATGGAAACATAATATGTGAACTGATAAAACAAATTACAGTGTTTACTATGATTTGAGAAAATACTACAGGCACAAAAAAAAAATGCTAGTGAAAATACTGATTCATATTGCACTTTGTTTATTTCTGTTGTAGTATTTTGTATGTTTTGCTTTGTGTTCTAGGTATTTCTGGTCATATCTGTCTTCTCTCCCAAGATTGTATGCTCCTTAAAGACAGGAACATAGTTATGATCTGTGATGACTGAATGTATTTAAACTTGGTAGATACCACTTCTCTCTTACTTAGCATGTCCCTTGAAACCCACCTTGGGTTCATATTCCTAGTCTGGTGACTGCTGTATTCTGATTGTAGATTGTGTTTATGAGGTATTCAGATTTGCTCAGGTTCCGGTAGTAGAGCTAGTGTCATCCTAGGTGGGGTTTTGTTTATTCTAGCTAATATGAAAATTAAGTAGTTCTAATGATTTTTTTTATCAAGGCTCTTTGTATGCAAGTATATGATCACACTTTTTAAAATGCATATCTTGTCTTTTGATGAATCCAGGGGCATCATGTGAAGGCTCAGGCTCTTTCTGCATTGGGAAGAAGTAAGGAAGTGTTAAAGGAGTTTCTCTACTGCCTTGCTTTAAATCCGGAATGTAACTCAGTGAAGAAAGAAGTACAGAAGGTGTGATTTTCTTTAAACAACTTTCTTTTTTAGGTCTCATTTATAGCCTTTATGTCCATGCTGAGTAGCTCCTACATGGAGCATAAAGAAGAAATATAATCCTGAGTATTCATGACAATATAGTTAAAAATACAGGAATAATAATTAGTTTCACATGTTTGACACCTTTTATCCAACGATAAAGCACAATGTTTCATGAGATGGCATTTGCGCGACTCAGTTCTGCTGGGATAGTGACAAGGGCTAGGGAGGCAGGGTCGGTGTGTGAGACTGGGGAGGCAAAGCAAATTTTCTTAGAGTTGTAATTTCAAGCATTATAGTTTGTATAGGAATTCTATGAAAGACATTGTGATAATATATAAAATATACAGGTTCAGCTGGTGTTAACTTAAAATTTTTAGAAAAGCTTTACTGGCACAATGCAGAAAGATCTTTTCTCTTATGGGGTCCTTAGCCCAATCTTGTTTAGAGGTCACTGAGTCACAGTTACTGTGGGAATCCACCCTATAAGAGCCTGTGCAATTGTTACAATCTTAGCACTTCCAGTGACCACAGTTCTTGTTTTTATGTCAGTGTTTCCCTATTTTAGCACTATTCATTGCTGACTTCTATCATACATTTACCTTGTAATTTTGACTTTAGAGTCTAGTTTTATTTTCTGGAGCAAGAGAAAATGAATCCATTCTTCCTCTTCCATTTTAAACTACCTTAGATATTTGAGATTGGCTGTTAACTTTGCCTTATGTCTTTGGACCCAACAACATCCTTTTCTCGTGGAATAAGGTTGTAGGGTTTCCTCCTCTGGATGCATTCTAGTGTACCTCCATATCTGACAGCTACAGGTGGGGAACTTTGACCTTCCCTTGTGTTCATATCATGAGGCATGTTTGTTTATTTTTAGCCTAATACCATCACACTGTTGGCTCCTATTAGAACCATAGTTAGCCCAAATACCTAGATCTTTTTTTTTAGTGAGAACCTTCTAGCAATATTTTTCGTCCTTTTATTGTGCAGTGGATTGGTCTTCATTAATGCTGTCAAATATCACTTACAGGTTTTGGCCATTGTTTCAACTTCTCAAAATAATAGTGAATCTTAACATTGGCTCTTCTAACTATCCCTGCCTGCTCTGTCCCACCTGCAAATTTCACAAGAACCTTAAAACATAACTCAACTGCTCTTTACAACAGCATCGTAAGAAATTTAGCCTGAGCTCAAAATTAAGCATATTTACAAAGGTCCAAGGACCAGCATCTAGGTCTTGTGTTACTTGTGGTGCTTCATGTCTGTCAGGTGCTATTTAAATTATGATGCTTTTCCCTGTAGCATTCTATGAGAGGTAGATGTCTTCTGTCTCAGGGTCAAAACAGTGCCAGCCTGTCAATGCCCGTGAAATGTAGTAATCTACTGGGCAGCCTTCTGCTGCTTTACTGAAGCCTCTCAGAGCCAGCTCAGAGGATACCAGTGTCCCTGCCAAGTGCTGCTCCTTCTTGATAGAAGGGTCATTGGTTCTGGTGCATTGACCTGTCACATGAGGAACAGTGATGGGTTCTTTATTGGGTCTTGGTCACTCCTTTGTACCTCTCTTTAAGCCCTTGAATTCAGCTGAGTCCATGAGGTTTGGCAGGACCATCGAGTGACTGCCAGTCACTTCCCACCATCAACAAAGGCTGGTCCATGGCTTTTGAAATAGAATTATGGCCATTCCCTTGGTTTTCCTTTAAAATTCCATACAAGGCAGCTCTTTCTGGTTCTCTTGTATGTTGAGTAGTCCTCTAGAAATATCTCAGTCCTGTGGGTGATCACAGCTTGGATTTAATTTAGGGTCCCTGCAACCTCTACACCCTACTTTGCTCTCTTAATCATGAGACTTTTAGGGGTGATCTTTTGTAACAGATGTCTAAGGACCAGACAGAAAAAAAATGGTAATACTCATATTTTGTAATTGATGAGACCAAGCTGGAAAGGGACTGGTAGCTAAAATGCCTAAAGCATTGATTTTGGTTTCAGAAACTTGAGTTTCGAAATAGTGGCAATTGAAATACGATAATTATTCTTTTCAATCTTTTATGCCTATTTGGCCTTATAGTTTCCTTTGGATCTTTCAGGCATATTATTTATTTTTCAAGAGTGTTTAAAAAAATTTTTTTTCTTCTCGGAAATTTTGTAGGTAATGTGTGAGGTGTTTTTTCCAGCTTCAGAAAATGTGCATCAGAATTTGACATCTTCCAACCAAAGCAGGATATTAAACAGCAGGTTGAAGGCTCAATGTGCTAGCCATGTGAACACCGAGCCTCTGGAAGAAGGGGACAGTGCAGGGAGTTCTAAGGTATGAAGTGCATGTGTTTGTCAGTGTTATCTTGATTAAGCTTTATGTAATTCTTTAAAATTTGAACATAAGTTATTCAGACTGTGGCATTATGTTAGTTGGAAATACTTCTCAAGACTGGTTCCAGCTCCTCAAACTGAAAGTTGATCCTTTTAAAGGAAGTTGGTGGAAGTAATGAACATGATCAAAAAAAAAAAAAACATATAGAAACATTTAGGACATCATATAGAAACATTTAGAACTTCACACATCACATCCCAAGTATCAGGAAACTTGAATTGGTTTTGGCTTGGAGAAAAGAAAGATAGGGATGATTTGAATATATGCAGGTTGATGTTCCATTGATCTGTCTCAAAAATAATTATTCTGTATTTTACCATGGAAAGCATAAAGTTCATCTAGAAGTTGTTAGATGAAACCAGTTGTGAAGGAAGAGTATAAGTCCTTTTTTCCAGAGTTTTCTAAGAAAGACCACTGCATGAATATTGTTTTCTCTTATGCCATGATTTCTTTAATATTCAGGATTCTTTTTTCCTACTTGACCAGAATCCATCTGAGAAATCTGATGTGTTTAGAAATACCAGTTCTTCCGTTTTGTATTTTATACTGGGTCTGCACTTTGAAGAGGATAAAGAAGTGTTAGAGAGTATCCTTCCAGTGGCACCCAGCACTGGTTTAAAGAGACAATTTCCAAATGATTTGGAGGATGTGCATGACCTGAATGGCCCTGGGAAAATTCCCAAGAAAGGTCAGTAAGCCCTTTTGTCATGGAGCTATGTGACTCCAGAGTGATAGGAAGTTAGCTATATTCAAGATATTTTAAAAAAATTTTTTACATGGTTTTTAAAAATTATTAATAAAAGAATATATTAGCTTTACTGTTATAGAATAGTTTAAGTAGTTAATCCTATGAAGACTTCATTGTCAGAAATAGGGAAGATTTTGTTATAACTTTAACTCCCATTTGTGCTCACTGTCCAGATAAATTATTGCTATCTATCGTCAATCTGATAGGAACTATTCCTGCCCAGCATGGTTTGTGAAATTGGCAAAACACACTTTAGCCAGAATAAGTGCAGTTACTGCATGCTTTTGTCCAAATGAGCAATTTTAATTATAGCATTGTAACCTTTTTTCAGAGGTGGATTCCTCACCTCAAAGGAACATGACCTCCAACACAGGAGAAAGTTCAGAGCTCTCCATAGATGTAACTGACTTCGAGTGTGCCCTTTGCATGAGGTAGGATGACAGAGAATCTGTGCAACTCTCTGAAAAACTCATCGTTTCTGAATTTAATATCCTAAATATAATGGGCTTTTTATTACCAGAGAAATTATGTATACCTTAGTAATAAGTGATTTATTTTCTAAAACTTTGATAAAGAAGATCTCAATGGGAATGGATATCAGGGATTTCTGCAGCCGTAAGGGAATTGTAAGCAATTCTTAGAAAATAAATAGTTTATTTGAAAATCTCTTCTGGATATTTTTGGCTAAAAGCTCAGATATTTTTTCCAGGTTGCTCTTTGAGCCTGTCACTACACCATGTGGACATACATTTTGCCTGAAATGCCTTGAGCGCTGCCTCGACCATGCCCCTCATTGTCCGCTGTGTAAAGAAAAACTGTCAGAAGTAAGTATCTCTTCTGAAACAAGATTATTCAGCTCCTCTTCTCATCCCTCAGTAGACGCCCATTTCTTGGGTTGGCTTTGCTTCTACTACCCATTTATTAAAGAAAGTTGGATTTCTCTAGTCAAAGGTAGGTCTTTTTCTTATATGATTTCTCAAAAAATACACAAGAGAAATTTAGATACAGAAACAAACTTCAGGAAAATTTTTAGGCATAAATTATAGTCGAGGTATACTGAAAACAGGTAATGTAATTGGAGCTCTTACTATGTGTTTATTATAAATAGTTGAGATAACAGTACTGAGTCCTCACCATATGTTAATTATAAAGGGTTGAGATAACATTATGGTGCACTTAATATGTGCCAAGAATTCTGTCCTTTTCCCCATCTCAAGGTGAAGTCACATTGTAATACTCAGTTTTGCATAGGATTGAAGATTTGATCATTTTTGACTACTGGAAATCCCTTTGGTGTGCTGTCAGTTGTGTCTTCTGTCTGTAATCAAAGCCAGTAATATTTAAAACTTCATGAAGGGAAGCTATTTAATTATGTCTAACTCAAAAATAAAGCGTTAAGTCTATATATTGGGTATGGTAAATATAATAAACACCACTTAAAAGCTTTTAAAGGCTTTCTGATGAACTTTTCAAATTGTGAATATGTATCAATTCTCTTGGGCTCTGGTGCCACTAACCTTCCATGAAGCAAACTATTTAACTTCCTGGGGTAGGAAAAGGAGGGGTTTTTTAAATCATTAAAATAATACTAATAATATTTGCCTTAATTACTTCTGGGGATTAAGCATACTTAATGCATTTTAAGTAGGATAAAGTTTTTTTTTAAAGATTTATCTATTTTTTATTTTTATTTCTTTATTTTTTCAGATTTTATTTATTATTTATTCATGAGAGACACACACACAGAGAGAGAGAGAGAGAGAGAGAGAGAGAGAGAGAGAGGCAGAGATACAGGCAGAGGGAGAAGCAGGCTCCATGCAGGAAGCCCGATGTGGGACTCGATCCCGGGTCTCCAGGATTAGGCCCTAGGCTGAAGGCTGCGCTAAACCGCTGAGCCACCTGGGCTGCCCAGATTTATCTGTTTTTTAGAGAGAAAGAAGGCATGTGTATATATGTGTGTGTGTGTGTGTGTGTGTTTGTGTGTGGGCATGTGTGAGCCAGGGGGAGGAGGACAGAGCGAGAGAGAGGGAGAGGGAGAGAATCTCAAGCAAACTCTTTGCTGAGGGTGGAGCCAGATGCTGGGCTTGATCTCAAGACCCTGAGATCATGACCTGAGCTGAAATCAGAGTCAGACAAGTAACTGACTGAGCCACCTAGGCATCCCAGGATAAAGTGGTTCTTTAAAACAGATGTCTGGTAAAATTTTAAAAATTCAAATTTATTTTTGAATTTGATATGGTAAAGGAGATACTATACTTACATGAATTTTTGAATAATTATAACTTAGTTTACTGCTAAAACTTGTTGAACTAAGTTATTATAATTAGACTTTTCTATATCATTATATGTTCATACTTGCTTTTTTAAATTGCATACATCCTGAATCTAGGTTATTTAGGGTTCTCCTCATGAATACTGCTCATTGTACTGTGCACCATGTGTCATGACAGTGGATGCTTCTTGAGTCTGTGTAGCACTTCTCTTTGGCAGTTCCTGTGCGGGTCTACTGCACTGTGTTTGCTTTCTTTGCTTGCTAACAGTGACACAGCATCTGGCCTGCTGCCCTGTTGGGCCTATGCTTGTTGGGGCCAGTGGGTCTGGAGGCAGCTTGTTTATTCTAAGACAGTGAAACGCATGTCTTTGTGACCACTGTTTGTTCACTTTTGTTCAGTGCTGTCTGGTAGGGGGCTGTGTGATGAAGCAGTATGCTGAGGTTAGCACAGTAATATAAGCTCCATAGGGATAGAGAAGACTTCTGTCTTGTTTTCACTCTATCTCCAGAGGCCAGAACATACTCTAGAGGTTCAGGAAATCCGTGTTGAATGAGTGATTAAATGAATGAATGATTAAATGAGTGAATGGTAAAGTGTAAGCTCTGCATAGACTGCCAGTGTTGCAGAAATTAGAAATTATAACAAAACCAATTAAAATTTAAAAACCACAATTTGATCTTTCTTTAATTCAGAAATCCCTTCATGAGCTTTGACTTTGTCACATACATTAGTATAAACATGAATCATCAATTATCTATGTATGCACAGAAGTCTTTTTAACGTAATGCCAAGTAAAGCAAATTTTATGGTATTACTCTTCAACAAGATGGTGCCATAGCAGTATAAAATACTGATGTCATTAATAATGCTAATTGTGAATTAAGTTAAACTTGTTTCTGCTAGTTATTCTGTTACTGAGGGTCTCAAACACAGTCATGTCCTTGAGGTTGAATTCCTAGTTCTTAGTCAATTACAGCAACACATGTAGCTTGTTTCATAGAAGCTAAAGGGAAACTTGGCTGTATGTCTAGGACTCACCCAGATGTAACTGTTAGAAATAGGTAAAGCAGCCTAAGCCCAGAAATGCAGCAAGTTAACAAAGAAGCAGCAGCCCATTGAAACCTACCAGCCCTGAGGTCCTTGCTGTGCCATGGTGGCTCTACACTCACCCTTTAACCTTTCTGAGTCCCATCTTCCTTATGAGTGCATTGTAGAGAATAACTATGGGATAGTGCTATTTTAAGACCTAACTTAATTTACATGAAGCATCTGCAATTGGTTCCTGATACATGTTAGGATATTAGTGAAAAACAACTGTTATTTGCAAATTCACATGCCTAAGATAAAAGCAGTGCACACACACAGAATAGTGGATCTTCAGCTACATAGGACCCTTCCACTCATACTAATCCTAACACATTTTAATGCAGTTTTCACCTGTTTCCTTCCCTTCACATCCAACTGTAATTCCTTGGTTCCTCAGTCCCTTTCCCAATCCAGATAAAGTCAACGCTGCCTCTTGCACATGTCCGTATAAGTAATGAAGCAAAGCTAGAGAAAAGCCACAAAATTGGGAAGATTGGTTTCAGTTTAAATTCATAGTCTTAAATCTTAGACTTGAAACTCTAGTAGGCACAGTCATTCTCACTGTGCTTCTTTAGTAGCTTCCATTATCCACTTTTCTGGATGATTACTTCATATTTCTCTTTTGCAACATATCCTACTCCCTCTCATCTCCCTGACCTTATGACACTTGATTGCAAATACAGAGGCCGAAAAGGCTGGAATTCATTCATCCTTCCTCTAGGTGAACACCTTCTCGTGCCTTTTCTCAGAGGGAAGGAGCTGCCCTGATCTTGTCCCTATGCCAGGCTGGCTGACCTCTGAGCTTTCCATCCCCACCCTTCACCCTCCTTGTTGGCCTTTTCTACTGGGGAGAGAGTATTTTGTCCTCTAGAATTAATTACCACGTGGTATTACTTAACATTTCCCTTTGTTTACAGTTGTTGGCAAGCAGAAATTTTAATATAACTATTCTGGCTGAAGAGTTAATATTTCGATATTTGTCTGATGAGCTCTCTGATAGGAAGAGAATTTATGATGAAGAAATGACAGAACTGTCAAAGTAAGTCCTCATGTGGTACGTACCTGGTCTTAAGTTCAGATTAAAGAAGGAAATCCTTGCATTCATAGCTTTATCTCAGGTTTTTCCCCCCTTGGCAGAGAAATTAGTACTTAAAAAAGAAAAAAAATTAATTGTGGAGTTTATGGAAATTTAATTGAAAGGGGTGATAAGAAATATTTCAAAAGTGTGTCTTCATGGGGCCCTTGGGTGGCTCGGTTGGTTAAGTGTCTGACTCTTGATCTCAGCTTGGGTCTAGATCTTGGGGTCATGAGTTCAATCCCCATGTTGGGCCCCATGCTGAGTATGGAGACCACTTTAAAAAAAATGTGTCTTCAGAAGATTAGGTAGTTGCTTTTTGTATCTGAATAAGTGGTACTAAATTTTTCAGAGTTGAAAAGGCACAGTATATGGAAACAGGAGGGAGAACAGGTTTACCACTGGAGGTAGGCTTGACAGTTGCTTTTATCTTTTAAAATGAGCAAAGTTGTGTGTTGTAGCAACCTTTAACTATTGAGGTCTTATAATTCTTCCACTCTTTTCCTCTCATTTCCTTTGATTACTGTGTAATTTTTGCTTTTGTCAGAACCTTTTTCTCCTTTTCCTTTTATATTTTTTGAGGTAAAATTGATGCATAACATTATATTTGATATTTCTATATATTGCAAAATGATCACCACAATAAGTCTTAACATCCATTACTATACATAGTTAACAATTATTTTCTTTTGTTAGAAAAAGAACTTTTAAGATCTGTTCTCTTAGCATCTTTCAAATATGCAATGCAGTATTATTAACTATTGTCACCATGCTGTGTGTTACATCCCCAGGACTTATATTTATTTTGCAGCTGGAAGCTTGTACTTTCCACCCCCTTCACTCAATTCATCCACCACCACCCCCACCTCAGCCTCTGGCAACCAACAGTCTTTTTATCTCACTTAGCATAGTGCCCTCAGGGTCATCAGAATTTTTTCTTAGCATGGTCCTAAACTATCACTTTTTCTAAGTCCATGAATACAATTCAGCAGTTCTGTTTCATCAAATTAAATAAGACAGGCTTGGCAGGAAACCTGGTGAGCTGAGAACTTTTTCTTAAGGTGGTCCTTGGTTTCCTTTTCCCACTAAAGACCAAGACAGGCCTGAGGGTTTTATTTTGTAAATGACAGAATTGAGGTTGGCTAGCTTTTGCTATTTTATAGGGACTAATATTGCTCTCTGCTTCTAACTGCTCCTCCTCCTAAGTTTACATTTTCCTTCACCCAACAGTCTGACCAGAGATGTCCCCATCTTTGTGTGTGCCATGGCCTTCCCTACCGTCCCGTGTCCACTTCATGTCTTTGAGCCCCGCTATCGGCTTATGATAAGAAGATGCATGGAAACTGGCACCAAACGGTTTGGCATGTGTCTCTCTGCTGAGCATACAGGGTAAGAATTGTCAGCATTCAGAGGGTCCTAAGTAAATACACGACTTGTTACTTTTCTCAAAAAATAATTTAAGATGATGTTGAAAACTTCCAGTGGCTCCCATTACATGACAAGGTATAAGTCTGAGGCCATCCTTGATGTGACTCCAGACTTCTTTCTAGTCTCACCTCCTGTTCCTTTGTTTCAGACATTATACTTGCTAGCCCATACCATATTATTTGCCTTTCTCTAAATACAATTCATATTCATACTTCCATGCTTCTCTCTGCCTATAATTCCTTTCTAGTTCATCATCATACAAACAAATCTAGTCTAACTTTTAAAGTCTAAAAAATTTGCTAAAAAAATAAAAAAACCTCCATCTACACAGCCAAATTTCAGTCTTATAAAAACCACAGCCCTAAGTTTTTACCTCTTTTCATTTTACATCAGATTGGCAGGTGGCTCCCCTCCATGACTGCTCTGGGGACTCTGGGGACTCTGGGTCCTTCCCATCTGTGGGCTTCCTTATCCTCTAGGGCTGTCATTACTGCTTGGTTATGATGAGGTCACTACATGCAAGTTCTAGCTGGTGGAAGAGGCACAAATGCTCTAAAAGGATTCTGGAAAAACAGATACACATCACTATTGCTCACACCTACTGCAAAGAAGGCTGGAAATTGTAGCCCACGGATGTGCCCAGGAAGGAAGGGAGAATGGACATGTGGGACCATCCACTAGTTTCTACCATATATACTTAGGAACACATCTTTTTAAAGATATGTGCAGGACCTTCATGGAAAAAATTCTACAGCTTTATTGAAAAATATTCAGGAAGATCTAAATAAATGGAGAGAAATACCATATCCATGGATGGATGCATTAACTTCCATGTCACAGAAATGTCAGTTTTACCCAAATACATCTACAAATCTAAAGTAGTTTTCAGTCAACATTACAAGAGGGTTTTTTCATGGAATTGTTTAAGCTGACTTTATAATTACGGAAAAACAAAAGACCGAGGTCACGATAGTTTTGAAAAAAATCAGCAGTAAGATGGGAGAACACTGCTGTAATAAACTCAGAAGCCCTAATAAGTAGACCACTGAAACAGAATAGGGAGATACAAAACAGAACCACTCATATATGGATCCATATTTACATACAAGTTTGTGAGAAAAAGCAAGCTGCTCACTTTAAAGGTACTTAGAAAATTTGTGGGCAGCCCAAGTGATACAATATTTTCTCTGCCTTGTACCATATACACAAATTAACACGTTAATTACATTCTCTATGTGAAAAACAACCTATAAAATTTTTATGAGAAAACACTGGAAAATATAATTAGGAAAAGGAAAAGTTTTTTTTTTTTAAGATTTTATTTATTTATTCATGAGAATACACAGAGAGGAGAGAGAGATTGAGGCAGAGACACAGGCAGAGGGAGAAGCAGGCTCCATGCAGGGAGCCTGATGTGGGACTCAATCCCGGGTCTCCAGGATCACACCCTGAGCTGTAGGCGGCGCTAAACTGCTGAGCCACCAGGGCTGCCCGGAAAAGATTTTTTTAAATACAAGATTCTGAGAGTGCCTCACATAGAGGAAGAGATCAATAAATTTTAATGTATTAAAATTTGATTCATCAAAAGCAGAGTGAAAAACCAAGTTCCAGAAATTCTGCTTCCATGAAGGATACAGAACACTAAGAAGGGCATTATCCAGATAAACTATAGAACATAAGTCTCTTCAACTTGTTGGTGAGCAAAGGTTGCTCAGAGTAAGTGAGGAAAGGCAAGTCCTACCATGGAGAACAGTAGACAAAAGCGTGGCTCACCTGTGGCAGAGGCCAGGAGAAGGAGACATGCAAGTGTGTAGGAAGAATTCAGCTAAGTTTTTTGGGGCCATGTTCTGATGGCCTCATGAGAGTCCAGATGTCCTGAGAGTTATAGCTATAAAGGAAATTTGCATTCATTCACAAGTTCTTGTCCACAGACAGGACAGTATGCTCATTGGAAAGACAGTTTCCACAGCTGAGCCAGGCTTTGGAGGAGCAACCATTTGAAGGCATTTGTCTGCCGATAGCTGGGGCAGTAAGTCTTCCTTTGAAGATCTTCAGGGTACCTCCGCCCATGCCCTGGCTATGGATAAGATAGCCCCGTTCAGTAAGCAGAAAGAGTTTTCGGAGAGATCCAGGTAGAGGTGTCCAGCCTTACAGGCCTGTGTGTGACTTGAGAACTGTCACTTAAAGTTAGCTTGAAGGTATGTAATGAAGTTGTTCATTCACTTTAAAATTAGATAGGGTTAGGCTCAGGTCTCAGCTTGAAATCTTACTGTGGCCTTACATAAGTTATTTGACTTTTTTTAAACCTTCCTGTTTTGGAGGAGCTTGACTGAGTACATACTATAAACTCCACGTGGTGCTTGACATGTAATAGGCACGATCAGTGTCCTCAGGAAGCAGACAAGAGTTCAAAGAGCAAGAGTGGGTAAGATCACGTGGAAGAGTTTGGGAGTGAGGATGCCACCCTGGGTGACCTCTGTGTGTGAGGGACATGTGGAGGAGGGAGGCAAGCTGTGAAGGGCTGGTCACAGCTGATCAGAGAGAACGGCAGAGAGCAGCAGTGGGGGTTGGCTCAGTGACAATCAGCAGGCTCATGGCAGGGTTATTTGTGACTTCCAGTGGTAGAGTCAGAGCCCTGATGGGAAGCAGAAGATGAAGGAGTGACTGTAGATGACTTTCCATAGCGGTTGCTAGGGAGAACAGAGTTGGCCAGCAGCAGTGGAAATGGGGGAGGAGGGAGCAGAATCTGTGAATGGTATGGGGGCTTGGACATACCTTGTGCTGTGTGTACCCCCTGCTGGTGCCCAGACCACGATGATTCTTTCTCCACCTCTTGAGTCTTTCCAAACCACTAGCTTGTTTGAGCAACCAAGGCACAAGGGCCTTTCCCGTCCAGCCCTCCCTCTGCAGCCCTTGCACACCCTATGTTTCACATTAACAGAAGGAATCTCTGCCAGTGTCTCTTAGACAAAATAAGCTTGCTGGTCTCATGTGGAGACAACCATTTGTTTTTTTTTTTGGATCTTCTGCATTTTTCAAATCAGTCCTTTCTCCCAACTGTCCTGTCAGAATTTCAGAGTATGGCTGCATGCTGGAGATTAAAGATGTCAGAACATTTCCTGATGGGAGTTCGGTTGTGGATGCCATCGGAATAAGTCGATTCAGAGTCCTAAGCCACCGTCACAGAGATGGCTATAACACAGCCGACATTGAATATCTTGAAGATGAAAAGGTGAGGTTTATTTTACTGTTGCATTGTTTAGAGGTAACTCACCTTGGTTCCCTCTGCGTAGTGGAAAAACTTGGTCAGATTTTTATTGACAGGATTACTTACATCCTCCCTAATTCAGCCTTTTGTTACTTATTACCTCAGTGGATTTTTCACCTGAGTTGGAGCTGGTGGAAACATCTCCTAAAAAAAAATTACCTTACTGCTGCACATTTGAAATGCCTTTGTGATTTGTTGTCTTGGTGTTCTAGTTCAGGACTTGGCAAACTATCTGCAGAGGGCCATACAGTCAATACTATAGACTTTGCAGGTCGTACAGCCCCTGTTGCAACTACTCAGCCCTGCCATTGTAGCACTGAAGCAGCCATAGGCATTATGTAAATTAGTTGGCATAATTGGTTTCCAGTGAAATGCTACTTACATAAACATACAATGAACAGGATTTGACTTGTGGGTAGTAGTCCATCCCTGTTCTAGATACTCGTATTAGTGCAGAATGAGATATAGTACAAAAAAATGGTGCTTAAAAAATAGCTTCTTAAGCCCAATATAAAAGGTTTGGATCTCTTACCCCTTAAGAAATATTGATATGCCTAATAGAAATATCAGAATCCATATTTTGGCAGATTAACAAAATGTTTTCAAGGGATTCTTGAAAAGACGTGTACAAAGATGTCCCTAGCAGACATATTCATTAGTGGCCAAGACCAAGAAATAGTGCAGATGCTCATCAGCAGAGGAATGGATAAACAAACTGTAGTGTATTTATACAATGGAATACTACTTGGCAGTAAAAACGAAGGAACTGCTGACATAGAACACCGTGGAACAATCTTCTAGGTCTCTCAGTGAACACCTGTCTTAGCGTGATGCCAAGCCAAGGGAGCCAGACTCACAACCTCACATGATATGTGGCTCCATTTATATACTCCAGGACCAGGCATCACTTGTCTATGGTGTTGGAGGGCAGACACTGGCTGGGAGTGGGGATGTTGTAACTGACTAGAGAGGGGATGGGAGGGCTATTGTGGGTGATGGAAATATTCTCTATCCTGTTTAGGATCGTGATCCCACTAGTGTGTATGGCTGACAATACTTTAAGCCAACCATTAAGATCTATGCATTTTCTGTATGTAAATTATCTTGCAAGAAAAACATTACCACCATTTAGAAAGAGGAAATCCTTGGAATTACTGTATCCCTCTTTTGAATTCTTTGGTTCATATTTAGAAAGATGGAAAGTGAGTCTTCAGCTGTCTGACATCACACCGGAAGTCGCTGTGGGGACAGTGATGTCCATTCGTGATGCCCCTGAGGAGAGCTACCCCGCAGCAGCGCCAGCACTGTCTCTTTTCTGGCTGCTGGTTCTGGCTCCTGGTCATCCTCAGGACCAGGGAGGGGAGTGGAAAGAGTGTGACAGAATGGGATTGTTCTCAGGGTCTCTCTGCTGATAAGAGGGTTTACTGACTCTTGATGTGGATGGTGATTGTTAGTGGTATATATGTTTAAAATGAGAGCTTACATGGCTACAATATGAAATAATTTTTGTGTTTCTTTAAAAACAGAAAATTCTCTACTACTTGTGAGCATTTAATTTGTATAAGTCAAATTGAGAATGGTTGTATGCATTATCATCTAATTCCTCAGTTTACCCTAGTTTTCAGAGATCCTGGAATTTTATAACCAGAAAGGACCAGAATGGTTTATCCCCATTTTATAGATGAAAAAACTCTACCCTCAGGGGGCTGTGTGACTGGCTTATGAGAATCAGCAGTGAAGCCAGAACACACCTGGATCCCTGGCTTCCCCAACCCAGTGCTTTTCCCACTCGGTGTTCCTGAGTAGGACTGGAACATACTTAAACTGAGTGACTTGGCACCCAGAAGCAAAGCATGGTAAATCTAAAGCGACAGGGCTTCCTGCTACATAAGGCTAATGCAGGGAATGTGTGGTGACGGTAACGTTTTTTGGAATATAGTTTGATGATATGGAATACAATATTTTAAATGTCTCACTCTTTAATTTGGCAATTCTTCTTCTAGGAAACTATCCTGAGGGAATGATAGCCCCTTCTCTTACCACCACCAACAAAATTTCTTAAAAAACACTCACTTTTGCATAAATACTTATATTGCTGTGTTATTTTTAAATAGATCTTATCTGAATGGTGAAGTAAATTCTCAAATATAGATTTGCATGTAGCCAGTGAAAATTATTCATAGTAACATGGGATTTATGTATACGTGGTTAAGAGAAAAATCAGGGTGATATAGACAGGGTAGATAGATCTTCCCTACGTAAGAGAAGTAGAGATTTGTGTGGTTGGGCATATAGTATGTTCTAAAACACAAATGAATCATCTAAATGCCACGAGTTCACATAGCAAATGCAGCAGACATCAGTACGTTCACATGTAAGAGTGGATTCCTTTCTCCTTGATCAGGTGGAAGGACCAGCATATGAAGAACTCACCAGTCTTCACGATTCTGTTTACCAACAGTCAGTTTCCTGGTTTACTTCACTTCAGGATCACATGAAAGAACAAATTTTAAGCCATTTTGGGTTAATGCCAGACAGGGAATCTGAACCTCAGGTATATTCTCCTTATTTCTTTTATAATGCTCTTATTTGCTGCCGTAATGTGTTAAGACATACTATTCTGCTGGAAAATTAGGCAGTACTATGCTGCATACTCTATTATGCTCACTTATGAACCGATTCATTCATCGAGAGCCCAGAGAAGCACCTAACAGAGTAGCATGTGCCTTTTGGAGCAAAACAGTCAGTGCTTTCTGATTAATATACTGCATAAAAGTAATTTCTTTTCTATTGGAAATGAATTTGTTCTGATTGGCTGTTACCTTTAGTACTTTCACTTCTCTCACCAACTATTTCAGTCAGCTGTTTAAATCTTATAATTTAGGGATGCCTGGGTGGCTTAGTGGTTGAGCATCTGCCTTCGGCTCAGTCGTGATCCTGGAGGTCCTGGGATCTAGTCCTGCATCAGGCTCCCTGCTTCTCCCTGTGTCTCAGTCTCTTTCTCTGTGTCTCTCATGAATAAATAAATAAAATCGTAATAAAATAAATCTTCTGATTTAGAGAGTAATAATCTTTGTACATTAGCATGAATGCTCCACGTTTTACACATAATATTGCCTTGTGCCTAAGAAACAGGTGTTGAATAAATGAAGAGAAAAATCTAGCTCTGGGTAAACGAGAAGCCTTCCTGCCCTCTGTCCAATGTGGCCACCTTGGGTGCTCTGCAAGGATGCTTTTAGTGAAGCTGGCTCTTCAGGCAGAGTGTGGCTTCAGGCTGTGAAGCGGTTCTAAGTGCAAATGAATCCCCTCCTCCTCCAGATGACCGGATGACCGCCAGGCAGGAATGGCTTAGGCTCATAGCTGAGAGTATGTAGTTCCTTCTACTGTACGTGCTTACCTGTCTCATAGAGAAAGCAGAGCTGGAGGACCAGCTTTCAGCAGATCGGGGGAAGGTGATGTGTCCTTTATATTTCTCCCATCCATTTTTAGGTTCTTTTTCTGTCTCTTGAGGACTTCTGTCTTGTCCCCCCCCCCCATCCGAATTATGTATCTTCCAAACTCATGACTGTCCTGTCCTTGAAGCCAAAAATTGTCCCAAATATGATACTCCCAATCTTTCAGTAGAATCTTTCTCTCTTAAGCTAAGGTGACTCCAGAGTCCACCCTCTGTAGTTCCCAGTGGGATTCTGTATACCTTTGGGGTGGAATTGGAGGAGAATCCAAGACAGGAAACAGGGAGGCCTGGATATTGTGGTTCTTAATGCCAGGAATACTGAGAACAACTTTATGACCAACTTTGTTTAGAGCTCAATCCAGAATTGTGTGTTTTGGTGTGTGAAATAAAGGCTGTCAGCTTAATAACTCTTATATAGTTAATTCATGGTGATTAACAATAATTCATATATAGATGTTGCATCTATATGTGTACATTCATCACATAGATATTAGAAGCATTATAATACCCAGACTTAGACACATATTTTTTGCCTTCCTAATATTGAACTTTCTAAAGTGTATTTAAGACTTAAGAAACAATAACACAGAACATTGGAAATAGAGGTAAAAATGTATGGTCTCCTCTTCTGACTGATATATACTCACAACTAGAGCTTTGAGAGAACAGAAGCAAATAATTTGTGGAATTTCCCTGTGGAAGATTCTTCTCATTGCAAGCTCTATTTTTTGAGTTCTCCCATATTTAAATGTGTAACAGGAATGTAAACTTTGTATGTCAAGGGCTGAATGGATGGAAAGTAGACCTAAAAGTCAAGGTGGCATTTAATTCTTCCTCATGACTTGTTGGTGAAACACAAGGACAGTATCGGGGAAGAGACTTGTATTTTAGATGATAATTTTGTTTTGCTTTCATTTCTTTTTCAGAGTAACCCTAGTGGTCCTGCATGGTCCTGGTGGATCCTGGCAGTGTTGCCATTGGAGCGCAAGGCTCAGCTGGCTATTCTTGGCATGATCTCACTTAAAGAGCGTCTGCTTGCCATTCGACGAATATTGGTCATCATCACTCGTAAGATGAATAGTCGGCAGGAGCTGGTTAATAGCAGGGAGAGAAATAATTGATTTTTTCTGGGAGCCCTTGTACATTTTTGAGGAGTGCTAGCCATGGACGAGTAGCATCCCATTCATCATGCTTTGTAATGTGCTTGTTGATAGGGTTACAAAATGGAACATTTAGCAAACATTGACTCCTACTGAAATGTTAAAAGTCTGTGCCTGGTGGAACCTGACTGTGTACAAGGTTAGTGTGAAGTTTGAACAGAGCCTATGGTTGGAAAAGAACCTAAGAGAATCTCTTTGAAGCAGATGCTCTACTTTGTAGTTCGCTAACAGCAGGGAACACCACAGATGGTTGAGGAGTGGTTTAGGTTTTGCAAGAAAGAAGGACTCCCTCCCCAGTAAAGTATTTTGCTACACCAGATGGAAACAGCATGCTTTAGTGGCTAGACAGTAAGGGGGAAACCACATTTTTATCTAGAAGCAGATTTCTCAGCGCACAGGCTAACTGAAAATGCACTTAGGCTTTGTGTGTCACTGTGAAGTTGTCTGTGAAATTGAGGAATCAAACTGTTGTCCAGTGCCGGAGCCAAAATTAGTCCTCACCCAAGAAGTAGTAGCTGCTGGATAGAACTGTGTTTTGTGTCCTGCAGTAGTTCAGGTGTTGTACATTGCATGTTGTAATCAAATGAATATCAGAATACACAAAGGTGTACCTTGGATATAGAAAACCTGAGAACAGTATGGTGACTTAAGGATACATATTTATACACACTCAATGAAGAGTGAGCAAAAGTTAGCTAAAACTGTACATGCATTGGGATGTCAAACATAGTCAAATTAGTGCAAAGAAAATATAAAAACCTCCTTGAAAGCATAACCCTATCTCATTAAATTGGTAGATACAAAGCATTGAGAAAATAGCCCTCTTTCTAATGGATTTGCATTGGAAATTAGGCCCATCAGTAATTTGAGTTTACCATCCACCCACTCATATATGAAGATATTAAAAAGCTCCTGTGGAATGGGAATTTATCTATTCCAGGAAAACCTATCAGGACAATATGCAAGAAGAGGGAGATGGTTATGGGATGTAAATATTTGGCAAGTTTTTCCTCCATCCTCAACCTAAAAATTGGCTTTGTGTCTTTTGAAAAGAAGTTGTAGAAGTGATAAGACCTGGTGTTATCTGTTAAAGAACCATATAATGACAACTTCAACCTCTAACAGATGTTGGTAGTATTAATTGAAATAACCACTTGAATCTGAGATACTGAATTGTCCTCACTGGCCTAACTAGCTGGTGTGTTGAGTTGGCTTCTTGGTATATGCTGTGGATGTTCTTAACTAAAAGATGATGAGAACCAGACCAGGGAATAAATCACAGTTTTAAGTTTTGCTTTATCTATTCAAGGTATATGATATTTGAATTTTAACAAATACATTTCATAATGTCAAAAGTTGGTTGTTTATCAATCCATCAAGCATTTTATTAGAAAGACCCTATGACTGTATTTTGTTTTCATTGGAGTTTTCAAGCTAAAGCTCAGTTCCATTATGGGAGTGAGAAAATACTATTCTTGTGTAACTTAGTCATAAAGAGAAAATGTGAAAGTATTTCCAGTCAGATGTTTCTAGTGCCTCACTTATTGCAAATCTCAAATTTCATCTTGAACATGGTTTAAAGGCTGTTTGGCCAAGTGATTTTTAAACTATTTTATTGATTCATGTGTTAATGACAATATCCAGCAGTTTTAGGCTGTGTATCCTAAGCTGATCATCTAAAAGAAAGCAGAACTGTATCTAATATGTGAGAGGACCTTTCTTAGGAATGGTTCATGAAAATAGGTATGTACTGACCATTCTCTTTCTTTTTCTTTTGGAGAATCTTTCCTACCCTGAAACCATATCATTGCTGTTTCCATCTGGGAATGTGTAAAATAACCACATTGTGATCATAGTTTCTCCAGGAGCTTTCCTGAAGTTAAGTCTCTGTGCTCAGAGTACCAGGGGTTCTCCTGTACCCATTGGATGCTGTTGCTTTCTCAGTCTTACTCCTGAAATGTCATAACTGGCACAGATCTCTGACCAGAGCTATAACGTATCTCTTCCTAATTATGTCTGCCTCTTTCTGAGTTGTCTTCTCATTCTGAGTATTCTGGTATAAAAGCCTGTTTGTCAGTAATGATGTAAATAGAGCAGCAAAACTTTCTGTTGTCTTTGTCTTTTGACACCCAAGGGAATGGACTGTGACTACTTCATGCTCTGTTGAGCATCTAGTGTCTACCTAAAGCAGAGCAGGAGCAGATGGCCACTTCGTGAGCACTTAGATGGCATTCTTTTTAAAAAATATTTTATTTATTTCTTTGAGAGAGAATATGTGTGCACGAGAGCGTGAGCAGGGAGATAAGGAGAGAGAGAGGGAGAAGCAGACTCTCCCTGAACAGGGAGCCCATTGTAGGGCTCGATCCCAGGACCCTGGGATTATGGCCTGAGCCTAAGGCAGACACTTAACTGACTGAGCCACCCAGGTACCTCTCAGATGACATTCTTTCTCGGGAAGTTGGACCAGGGAAATAATATCTCAAGTCATATTATGAGAGAAGCTTCCTTTTACAAATTTAAAGAAGCCTAAACTCTAGTTTGCTCATTTTGCTACTAATTTAGCTAAAGCAGTAGAACAGCTCCCCTCCACACACACACCTCTTTTCTATCATGGAGATGTCATGTCTAATATTTCTCAGAAAATAAGGTCTCATTCAGAGTCAGAACATTCAAGTTTAATTTTACTGAAAATGTTCCAACACTAACGGTCTAGTTGCATCAGAATAAAAACAGAATCTACTTAGAGTAATAATAACAGTGTGGAGGAGTAATTTTTCTTCTTTAAGTATAGTACTTGAAGTACATTCTGTACACTCTGTTAGGTATTTTTCCATTTCACTCTCCTAAGTGGCTTGACTCATAATTCCATCCCTGCCTACGTCTCTGAAATACAGCTGATATCCTGATGGGCAGTATGCTGAAAGCTCATGAGATTTTTAGGGTATCACATTCTCTGTGTGTGCTCATCTTCAGAATGTTAGAATACTTTTTAAAGTTCTGAATTAATTTTTTTTTAAATTTTAAGATTTATCCATGCAACCACAATAAGTGGTTCATAACCAGTTCGTGTGCCAACTTTTGGAAGTGTTATCCCATTTTATAACCCTAATGGTGTCCTTTCTTCTCTTAAGCATCACCCCCCTACCTCCCATATCAAAAGACACCAAGATTGTTTAGTAAATTGTATCTCAACTAGTAACACATATCAAGTCTTACTACAGGACTTTTGAATCATCAGGGAACAAGATTATAGATGGTAGAATTACCATGAACTGTGATATTATCATTTTGTCCTAAAATTATTTGAAAACTGGCAGTTGTTATAATCAAAATACTCCATTGCCTGACCTGACTGTATTACATAGAAGTCATTATGGCTTTTACATTGCTTTTTAAAAGTACTCATCTGTTTCTTCTTCCTTTCTCCTTTTATGTATCTACTTTGGTAGATACCACTCCTTAAAATTTAGATGCTATCTGTCAAATAATGTGACAGATATGAGGAAGAAAAAGCATTAGGAGGGAAAATAAATGTGATTGGTTTTTGTTTGTTTAAGGCATGGGTTTTTATTTTTTCTAAATACCCCTACGGAATAGGGTAGAGAGGTCCCCATCTTCATTCTCAGCATGGATGCCAGTGGCAGCTTGCAGAAAAAAGTTATTTGTCTGTAGCTCTGCCCCTACTAAAAGTCCCTGTTCTGATTCTATAGTTCATAAAAACTAAAAACCAGGGAGGCTAGATCTGAATGAGTAGGGTGAGCTATGCAAGTCATGTGGGAAAAATTGAACCCTGATTGTTGCCCAGTATCACCTCATCCCTACTAGGACTAATGTTTCATTCTGAGGCATTGCCTTCTGACTTGTGGGAGATCTTTCCTCTTTGCAGCTCCTCGCCTTAACTTCACCTTAACTTTGGCCTTTCAACTGCTAAAAAAATGTACCCAAATCTGCTTTTAGTCAAACAGCTTTTAGTAGTGTATCGGCTTTTGGGTGAACATTAGCATATTGAATTAGAATATTGCAGTAGCATAAACTACTGAAGAAATTCAAGTGTCCCCATGGTGGGTGGACTAGTTGGGAACATTAGCTCTGATTTGTGCCCAAGACTTAACTTCTAAAGTTGCCAGAGAGGTCCATGGCATTGAAAGGAAAATTCATTGCTACTCCTATTTCCCCTAGAAATGACAGGCATGCACTTAGGGCCGCATGGGGAAGCACCAGAGCCACAAGGCAGAAGCAGGAGCGAGGGGAAGAGCCCTTACTGTGTTCTGGTAGGAAACACCAGGCAGGGCAGCGGAAACAGCTTAGGACTGTCTAGTTTGGATGATGGTGGTGGACTCTGGATTATAAGGGTGGGATCTACTTGTCTGGTAGTGAGCCCTGGGTGATTAAGGCCAAGGACTCTTTTCTCCTAGACTGTAAGAGCCAGACAAAGAAGGTGGCTCAGAGTTTAGGCTCTGGACTGGTTAATTCTCATATGAAAGGTATGCTTCCTTGTGGGCCCTTTGCTGCTTCTGAATGACCAGCCCAAGACCAAGACCAGCCCAAGACCAGCCCTTGGTCTCCTCAGCCAGTGAGGCCCCCAAGGTGTCAAAATATCCTACTTCTTAAACACATGATTAATACAATTGGCCCTCTGATGTGACATCATATTAAGGAATCTTTGGAGTGATGAGAATGGAGACATAAAAGAGTAAGGCATATGTTAGCTTAAACAGAACAGAAAGCATTTTATTATGAGAGTATAAAGGAGAAGCACAGGCAGGGGTGTAGGGAGTCCTTGAGGCTGGTCTATAACTAAGGTTCCCATTTATACACATTATAATCTTGGGGGGTCTGGAATCTTGGGGGGTCTTCAACACTATCTGGGTGGAGTTGTAAACTATATGAAAAGTGTGAGTGTGGTAATAATATCTTGATATGTTTCTTGAGTCAAGATGGCAGGTCCAGCAGTTATGCTATTGGAACCTGTGATAATTTAGTAAATACATTAATGATTAAGCAGTGAGTATGTGTAACCAAGGGAAAGGAGTATTATGATTGGAGACATGGGGCAGGAGGTTCTGGTGGAAAGCTGGAGAGGGCAGTAGGAGAAGGCAGTGGACAGTGAGTGAGTGGTCCTCTCCCAGAGACTTCAGGGGTTGACTGAGAGTTCCTGGGGAAAGTAATAATCACCATTCATTTTTTGGAATACTGTACAGATAGTAACTTCTATCAGATTTCACTTTAGGCATGAGAGTGTAGGAGTGTGTGTTTTGGCAGAGAGCAAGGAATGTACCAGGGCAATGCACTAAACAGGCAGGAAGCTCAGAAACATAATAGAATTCTTAATATAGAAGGAAGAGAACTAAAAATGCCCTGTGTCTAATTTGTGACTTAGCAAAGGTAGTCCATGGGCATAAATTCTAGTGTCCAAGGTAGAGTTATCTCCAGTGGCAAGCTTATGGTCTGGGAGATGTTATTTGAGTAGTGACCAGAGTAATGTTGTCTGGGGTGTGAGACATGGAGTATCCATTTTAAGTGGGTACCCACTCAGGTTGGTGTGGGTTTGATATGTTTGCTTGAAACAGTGGTTTACTTGAGGTGTTTGCAAACCAATGAAAGCAACCAGACCAGCAGTAATAAGACCAACGGTCAATGGAACGGTGGGCAGCTACACTGCGCAGTTTTTGCTTTTGATTTTTGGTTTAGGTTCACTTGGGTCTCTTACACCGCCTGGCCTGTGGGAATGTCTGTGATTAATGGGTCCCAAGAAAGTATGTGCCCTCAATCTGGCCTATATCCCTTGTGGGATGAGGGCAAGATAGAAAAATTTATAAAGGGAGGGGGAAAACTTGTTAAAGGGCCTAACATGTAATGAATTTTTAATGTACATGAGGGCAACATACCCCCCTTTATTTTTTTATTTAAATTTTAGGTACCTAACATATAGTGTGATATTGGTTTCTGGAATAGAATTCAGTGATTCATCACTTATATACAATACCCAGTGCTCATCCCCACAAGTGACCTCCTTGTTACCCTATCACCCATCTAGCCCATCCTCTACCCACCTCCTTCCATCAACCCTCAGTTTATTCTATCATTAAGAGTTTCTTATAGCTTGTTTTCCTCTCTCCTTTTTTCTTTTCCCCCTTCCCATATATTCATCTGTTTTAGTTATTAAATTTCACATCAGTGAAATCATATGGTATTTGTCTTTCTCTGAGTGACTTATTTCACTTGGCATAATACACTCTAGCTCCATCCATGTCATTGCAAATGACAGGTTTCATTCTTTTTGATGGCTGAATAATATCCATCCTGTATGTGTGTGTGTGTATATCACATCTTTCTTATCCATTCATCAGTTGATGGACATTTAGACTCTCTCCATAGATAGTTTGGCTATTGTAGATAATGCTGCTATAAACACTGGGGTGCATGTACCCCTACAAATCTGTATTTTTATATCCTTTGGGTAAATCCTAATAGTGTAATTGCTGGATTGTAGTGTAGTTTCTATTTTTAACATTTTGAGGCACCTCGGTACTGTTCTTCGGAGTAGCTGCACCAGTTTGCATTCCCACCAACAATACAGGAGGATTCCCTTTCTCCACATCTTCACCAACACCTGTTATTTCTTGTGTTGTTAATTTTAGCCATCTTTACAGGTGTGAGATGGTATCTCATCATGATTTTGATTTGTATTTCCCTGATGGGTGATGTTGAGCATCTTTTCATGTATCTGTTAGCCATCTGAACACATATCTCCCTTTAAATAGAGGAAAGTGCAATCAGAAATTTCTCCCCAGCTTTATTAAAAATGAATGAATATAATTATGTATATTCAAAGTGTACAACATGATGATTTGATGTACATGTACATTGAGATAACGCAGCCGTCACTTTACAGTGTATGTGTAATGAGAATGTATAAAATCTATTCTCAGCAGCTTTTAAGAACATGATACTCTATAATTAACTCTAGTTCCTATGCTGTGCATTAGATCCTCAGAACCAACTCTTCTTATAACTGAAAGTTTGTACCTTCTGACCTACATCTCCCATTTTCCCCTCTGTCCAGCCCCTAGCAACCACCATTCTATTCCTTATTTCTATCAAATCAGCTTTTTTTTTTTTTTAAAGATTCCGTATGTAGTGTTACCATATGGTATTTGTCTTTCTGTGTCTGGCTTACTTCACTTAGCATAATTTATCCCTGTTGTCACAAATGATAAGATTTCCTTCTTTTTAAGACAGAATAATATTCCACTGTGAGAGAGAGAGAGAGAGAGAGAGAGAGAGAGATTTTCTTTATCCAGTCATCCATTGAAACACCTTAAGATTTCCCTATCTTGACTATTGTGAAGAAGCTGCAGTGAACAGAGGGTGCAGAGATTTCGAAATCCTAATTTCATTCCTTATATGAGTTCATTTCATTTCCTGTATGGTTCAAATATTTTTTCCCATTCTATAGATTGCCTTTTCAATTTATTAATCATTTTCTTTGTTGTACAAAAGTACTTTAGTACTTTGTGGTCCTCCTTGTTTATTTTAGCTTTTCTTGCCCGTGCTTTGGGCATCTTACCCCAAAAGAAATCATTGCTAATACCAGTATCAAGGAGTTTCCTTTCTTCATTTTCTTCTAGGAGTTTTACAGTTTCAAGTCTTACATTTAAGTCTTCAACCAATTTTGAGTTAATTTTTATAGGTATAAGATAGATGTCCATTTTCATTCTTTTGCATGTGGATACCCAGCTTTCCTAATACCATTTATTGAAGAGACTATCTTTTTCCCATTGTGTTTTCTTGGCTCCCTTGTCAGGGTTACTTGACCATATCTGCATGGGTTTATTTTGGTGCTGTCTGTTCTGTTCTACTGGTCTGTGTGTCTATTTATGCCAGCATGACACTGTTTTAATTACTGGAACTTGATAATTTTGTTTGAAATCAGGAAATGTGATGCTACCAACTTTATTCATCTTTCTTAATATTGCTTTTGCTATTAGGGTCTTTTGTGCTTCCATAAGAATTTTAGGACTTTTTTCTATTTCTGTGAAAAATTCCATTGGAATCTTGATAGAGATCACATTGAATCTGTAGATTACTTTGGGTAATACAGGCATTGTAACAATATCAATTCTTCCAATCTAAGAACATAAGATATCTTTCCATTTATTTGTGTCTTCATTTTCTTTCATTCGTGTCTCATAGTTTTCAATGTACAGGTCTTTCATCTCCTGGAATAAACTTATTTCTATGTATTTTATTGTTTTTTGATGCAATTGTAAATGGGATTGTTTTCTTAATTCCTCTTTCTGATAATTTGTTGTTAGTGTATAGAAATACAATTGATTTTGTATCATGTATCATTACTGAATTCATTGATTAGTTCTAACAGTTTTTTGGTGGGACCTTTGGGGTTTTCTATTTATAAGAGATAATTTGACTTCTTGTCCCGTTTGAATGCTTTTTATTTCTTTTTATTGCTCCATTGCTGTGGCTAGGATTTCCAGTACCATCTTTAATAAAAGTGGTGAATGTGGACATCTTTGTCTTACTCATGACCTTAGAGGAAAGACTTTTAACTTATTACTGTTAAGTATGATGTTAGCTATGGGCTTATCATACATAGCCTTTATGACATTAACATTCATTCTACACTTAACTTATTGAGAGTTTTTATCATGAAAAGTTGTTGAATTTTGTCATATATTTTTCTTCATTATTGAAAAGCTCATTCTGATAATGTGGATGTTATATTGGTTGATTTGCATATGTTGAACCTTCCTTGCATCCCAAGGGTAAATCCCTCTTGATCATGATGTAAATTATGATGTAAATAATGGGTAAATCTTTTCTATATGCTCTTGAATTTGGCTGACTGGTATTTAGTTGAGGATTTTGTAAGTCTATCTTCATCAGGGATATTGGTCTGTAATTTTCTTTTCTTGTAGTGTCCATTACCTGGTTTTGTATCAGGGCAATAATGACCTTGTAAAGTAAGTTTGGAAATATGCACTTTTCCATTTCTTTGAGATGGTTTGAGAAGGATTGGTATTATTTAAATAATTGATATAATTTGCAAGTGAAGCCATCTGATTCTAGGCTTTTCCTTTTAGGAAATTTTTGATTACATGTTTAATCTCCTTGTTTGTTATTGACATACTCAGATTTTCTATTACTTCATGATTTGGTATTGGTAATTTGTATATTTCTTTGAATTTATCCATTTCTTCTAAGTCCTGTCATTTGACATAAATGCTCACAGCACAGTAGTCTCCCCTACGGTCCTTTGTATGTCTGTAGTATTATATATGGTGTTTCCTCTTTCGTTTATCACCTACTTGAATCTTCTCACTTTTTTCTTAATCTGGTTAATGAATTGTCAGTTTTATCTTTAAAAAAAAAACAACTATTAATTGATCCTTTCCATTGTCTTTCTAGTGTCTATTTCATTTACTTCTCTTATTTTTATTATTTCCTTCCTTCTGAAAACTTTGGACATAGTTTCTTCTTTTCCTAGTTCTTTAAAGTTTAAGATTAGGTTTATTTGATATCTTTCTTTATTCTTAATGTAGGCATTTATTGCTATAAACTTCCATTTTAGAACTGCTTTTGCTACATTCTGTAAGTTTTAATATGCTATGTTTCCATTTCATTTGTCTCAAGATAAACCTTTTTGATTTCTTTTTTGATACATTGATTGTTCAAAAGTATGTTAATTTCTCCATATTTGTGAATATTGTAACTTTCTTCCTGTTATTGATTTCTAGCTTCCTATCATTGTGTTAGGAAAAGATAATTCATAACATTTCATCTTTTAAGTTTCTTAAGACTGGTTTTGTGACCTATACATGATCTGTCCTGGAAAATATTTCATATACACTTGAGAAGAAAGTATGTTATGCTGATGTTGGGTAGAATATTCAGTATGTCTGTTAGACCCATTTGGTATAAAGTATAGTTCAAGCCCATTATTTTCTAGTTGATTTTCCTCTAGATGAAATCTTTGCTGAAAATGGGATTAGAGTCCCCTCTTGCATTGCTGTCTGTTTCTAGTTTCAGATCTGGTAATAATTTTTTTAAATATTCAGGTATGTGGTACCTGATATGTGGTATCTATATATACAGTTGTTATATCCTCTTGATGAATTGATGATCCCTTTGTCTTTGTATAATGACCTTGTCTCTTGTTACAGCTTTTTTTTTAAGATTATTTATTTGTTTATTTATTTATTCATGACAGAGATAGAGAAGGGGGGGAGAGAGAGAGAGAGAGAAAGAGGCAGAGGGAGAAGCAGGCTCCATGCAGGGAGCCCAACATGGGAGTCAATCCTGGGTCTCCAGGATTACATCCTGGGCTGAAGGCGGCGCTAAACCACTGAGCCAACTGGGTGCCCTCTTGTTACAGCTTTTGACTAAAAGTCTGTTTTATCTGACATTAAGTATAGCTACCTCTGCTTTCTTTTGGTTTTCATTTGCATGGAATATCTTGTTCTGTGTCTTTACTTTTAGCCCGCGAATGTCATTAAAGCTTAATTGAGTCCCCGTGGGCAGCATATAGTTGAGTCTTAATTTTTTTTATCCTTAGCCACTTTATGTCATTTAATTGAAGAATTTAAACCATTTACCTTAGAGTAATTATTAATAGGCAGTAACTATCACCATTTTGTGAATTATTATTATTTTATAGTTAATGTGTTCCTTTTTTTTTTCTATTACTGTCTGTCTTTCTGAATTAGTGAGTTTTTATAGTGGTATGCTTTGAATTTTTTTCTCTTTATCATAGATATATCTGTTAATAGGTTTTTGCTGTATGATTTCCATGAGTCTTTCATAACATATCTTACAGTTTTTTTTTGTTTTGTTTTTTAAATTTTTATTTCTTTATGATAGTCACACAGAGAGAGAGAGAGGCAGAGACACAGGCAGAGGGAGAAGCAGGCTCCATGCACCGGGAGCCTGACATGGGATTCGATCCCAGGTCTCCAGGATCGCACCCTGGGCCAAAGGCAGGTGCTAAACTGCTGCGCCACCCAGGGATCCCTATCTTACAGTTTTAATAGTCTATTTAAGCTAATAACAAGTTAACTTTAATTTGCATTAAAAGTTCTACACATTTACTTGTCCCATACATTTTATGTTGCTGCTGTCAGTTTCCCTGTTTTTATATTGTGTGTCCATTAACAAAATATTGTAGCTATAGTTCTTTTTAACACTTTTGTCTTTTAACCTAGATGCTAGAGTTCAAAGCTATTTGATTAGAGTATTTTGAATTTGACTATATATTTATCTTTACCAGTGAATTTTATATTCTATGCTTTAATTTACTAATTAGCATCCTTTAGTTTTAGTTTGAACTTCTTTTAGCATTTCTTGTAAGGCATGTCTAGTGGTGATTAATTCCCTCAGCTTTTGTGTATCTGGGAAAGTCTTTATTTCTTATTTCCTTCGGAAGGACAACTTTGCTGGGCAAAACATTTTTGGTTGGCAGTTTTTTTTCTTCATCCCATTTTCTCCTGGTCTGCAGGGTTTCTGCAGAGAAATGTGCTGATAGGCTTCTGAGGTTTCCTTGTATGTGATGTCTTTTTTCTCTTTGGCTGTTTTCAAACTTCTCGTTTTGATTGATTGATTGGTTGTTTTAGAGAGGGAAAGAGAGCAAGAGGTATGGAGGAAAGGGAGAGAAAATATTTTTTTTGTTAAGATTTATTTATTTTAGAGCATGTACACATGCACGGGTGTTGGGGAGGAGCAGAGAGAGAGAATCTCAAGAAAACTCCCCACTGAATGTGGAGCCCCACATGGAGCTTCATTTTAGGACCCATGAGATCATGACCTGAGCTGAAATCATGAGTTGGAGGTATAACCAGCTGAGCCACCCTGGCACCCCAGGAGAGAGAATCTTAAGGGAACTCCCTGCTGAGCATGGATTGTGACATGGGGCTCAGTCTTACAACCCTGAGATCATGACCTGAGCCGAAATCAGGAGTCAGATGCTTAACTGACAGAGCTACCCAGGATCCCATCTTTGTCTTTGAGTTTTGAGAGTTTCCCTATACTGTGTCTTGGTGAAGATCTGTCCAAGATGAATCTGTTTGGGAAACTTTGAGCTTCATATGCCTGGATGATCCATATCTCTCCCCAGTTTGGGGATTTTCTTCCATTATTTCTTTAATTGGTTTTCTATCTCTCTCTCTCTCTTCTCCTTCTATGACATTCATGATATGAATATTTTTTTGCTTGCTGGTGTCCAGTAACTCACATAGGTTTTCTCCACTCTTTTTCTTTTTTGGCCTCTGATTAGATAATACCAGTTCTCTGTCTTTACGTTCACCTACCCCATGAAGATTCTTTCTTCAGCTTGTTGAGCCAGCTTCACTGAAACTTTTTGTTGCATTTTTCATCTAATTTATTGTATTTTTCACCTCTAGCATTTCTGTGTGGTTCTTTTTTTTTAAAATTTTTATTTATTTATGATAGTCACACACAGAGAGAGAGAGAGAGAGAGAGAGAGAGACATAGGCAGAGGGAGAAGCAGGCTCCATGCACCGGGAGCCCGACGTGGGATTCGATCCCGGGGCTCCAGGATCGCGCCCTGGGCCAAAGGCAGGCACCAAACCACTGCGCCACCCAGGGATCCCTCTGTGTGGTTCTTTTTATGATTTCTAATTTTTTTTGCTGAATTTTTTGTTTTATTCATGCATTATTTTCCTGAATTCACTGACTTGTGTTTTCTTAAATTTCACTGAGCTTCCTTGAAATAATTATTTTGAATTCTTTTTCGGGTAACTCAAACAGAGTTCCAATTCTTTGGGGTCAGTTGCTGGAAGTTATTGTGTTCCCTTTTGTCATGTCATGTGTCCTTGCTTTTTTGTGTGTTTCTAGTGGGTTTATATTGATGTCTGAGCATTTGAGGGAGAATTTACCACCTCCAGCCTTTTCAGACTGGCTTTAATGGAGAAAGACTTTTATCTCAAGGTGGGCTGTGAGGGCACTGTCTGAGTAGGGTACATTTCTTGTGGGGAGAGTACAGTGACACAGTTTCCACGCAGGCCTGTTAGATGAGCTCAGTGTCAGTAAAGTCTGTGGAGATCTTTGGTGGCCCAAACGATGGAGGGCTTGCTGGTGGCAGTAATTGACTAGGGCTACTGCAGTCCTTGGTGGTGAAGGTGCTGAGGTGTTCTTGTTCTCCTTTGTTGTCCATGGGAGGAAGTTCTAGCTGAGAGCATCCCTGCTGGCACCAAGTCTGTACACTGATCCTCAGTGGAGCTGTGCTCCAGGGATGGGTTGCATGCAGAACTGCCATCATCCTGGGTCCTGAGGCACATTAGCCCCAACCCTCAGGCCAGGGGAGCTCAGTACCAAGAGGGATCCCCTCAGAGGGATTGTATCCCACAGAGAAAGGAGAGCAGGGCCCCCCAGCAATGGACATTTACAGCCTTTGCTACAGAGGACCCAGGCAAAGCACAAAGCGGGGCTTGATGTCATGACCCAGAGATCATGACCTGACCTAAAGCCAAGAGTCAAAGCCTTAACCAACTGAGCCACCCAGGCACCCCTTGAAGCAACATGTTAAGCCTTTTGGGATCCGTGATTTCCATGAGGAGGGCTCTCACATCATGTTACTGATGGATCCCTGTAGTGTCCTGGGGACTAACACTTGGACTTCTGCCAGAGACACTTTCTAAAAGGAATGTATTCTGGAGGAAGTTGGCATCAGTGTGATGGGATAAGTTGGTCACAGAATGAGGAGAGAGCTAACTCAGTTGAGCAGGCCTGACTGGCTTTGGCATTGCTGGCTTAGTCAGTCAGGCTTACATCTCAACAGTCTGTTAGAGGAAGCCACTCTCGGTCCTGGTCGGGAAAAGCCTCTTGCCTATGGGAGCTCTGCAAATGCCAGTAGCTCAGACATAGGTGTCACAGCTACAGCAAGTCCACGTGTGCCTTGTGTGTTTTCCAGTTATCCTAGTCCATGAGGGTCATTAGTCCAGAAATTAGGCATATCAGGGTAAGCAATCATGTGGGAGCCATGAGTCCAGTTATTTATCCCGGTAGGGAACTTGGATTCCCATCAGCCTAGGCTACAGCACTTAAGAGTAAATGAGGACCATAGACACACACGCCTTTGAGGTCTTCCTACAAGTTAGGCTGGAACACTATGTCACCATATGGCAGGTGCAGCATAAGTGTAGCTGCCAGAGTACAAGCATGCCAACAGCTGGCTGTGCTTTCATAGGCAGTGCAGGCTACTTAGTGAATCTATATAGCAAGTCAGGAGCAGTGAAGAGGCTTGCCCCTCTGACAAAACTGTCAGCCTTCTTGCTGCATCAGTTGTGTTAAAATATACCCAGAGGATTTTATTTATGGAGGCAACTGAGTGACAACATGGAAAAGCTAATGCCATGCCAAAAGCCACAGGAAAACACACCAGAGCCACTGAGGACGAAGAAGCAGGAGGGCTGGGAAAGAATGGAGTGTTTTTGCAGGAAAGGCCAGG